GTAAGCTGATATATTTGGTCAAGTCATGTTGCCATGTTAGATAGTGTGATTTAGAAAGTCACTTATAGCTTGTTTCTATTATGTCTAAAACACTCTTATTTGTACATTATTAGAAAGGAGGAACAGAAAAAAACTATATCTTAGAATTTGTTTGGCTTTTCCTAAGATGTTCTAAAATATTCTAATAGGATATTTGCACTTATTCTCTCTGTGCCTATGACTGGCTAAAATCACAGAACTGTCACAATTCTCACCCAATGAGCTGAAGGCCTGTGGAACATACTTCCCTCCCCACCCATTCACACATGTGCTCATTCATCCTAACATCATCTGACTTCATAGTACAAGTGCAGACCAGGCTTTTGCCCCAAGGGCTGATTATCTACCAGTGACACTCATTTATTTAGTTTCCTAACTCAAATAATGCTCTCTCATTCAAGAGATGGATGTGTGCATCTGCTATGTGTTTAGTAAGCCTCACCCTCTCCATTACTCACTTCCCAGTTTGGGTTCAGTAAACGCATCGGGTAAAATGAGTAGTTAGGTAGACCAAAGCAGTAGAAAGTGCTAATTGTCATCAAATAGCCGTGTGCTGAGTTTATAAGAGAAAGGCAGAGGTTGATACTCCAGTCAGGAAGGGCTGGGTCTTTCAAAGATTGCCAGTTCTGGTTTTGTTTTGTTTTTTTTTTTAATAGAGATATTTATTTCATCAACATGGAACCAAACTAATTTATATCACCAGAGCTCAAATAAAATTGACTTTCTGCTGGGCACTGGTAGGTTACTCCTATAATCCTAGCTATTTTAGGAATATGAAACCTGTAAGATTGTAGTTTAAAGCCAACCCAGGCAGAAAAGGTTCTATCTCCAATTATCCAGCAAAAAGTCAGGCTAGAGGCATGGCTCAGATATTAGAGTGCTAGAGAAGCAAGCAATCCAAGTGAGTATGAGACCCAGTTCAAACTCCAGTACTGTCACAAAGAAAAAAATGACTTTCTGAGAATAACTATGCCCTGTATGTTTGTTTTAAAAGCTATGTGAAATTTAATAGCTGACAATAAAACAAATCACAACTATTAAGCAAGTGCTCGTTTTAGAAAAGGCCTAGCCTTCATGAAAAAGAGGAGTAGGTCCTAAAATTCTGTATTCATAACTGCCTTTGAACTTGTTTACTTGGTTAAATGCCCAAAGTCAACTACTTAAATTTGTGGCACTCTTAATGTCAAAGTAGTTTGCAGAGTGTGAAATAGGTAAAAAAAAAATAATTTTCCTAATTTCTCTCTGAAATCCCTTCTTTTTAAAAAAGAAAAAGTAGATGCACATTTCAGTTAAATATATTTTAGTTCATTATCATCTATTTCTATTCTCACAACTCGATCATAGAGGGAGCAATTTTGGGAGGAACACAAAGAAGGAGGAAAGGGATTCCTCAAAACATAAAGATTTGGGAGAACATATTAAGAATTGTTGTTTAGCAGGTGTGGTGGTACACTCCTTTAATCCAGGTACTTTCAAGTTTAAGGTCAGCCTGGGTTACAGAGATCCTGTCTCATACAACAAACCAAAAACCAACAACAAAAACAGCCATTAACAATAACAATAACAACAAAAGAAAAACATTACTTCCTATGAGTCTTTAACCCTCTGCCTTCTTGCTTTTTTCGGCTGGACTATTCAATTTTGAATTTAATCCTCTATTTTCTCTTCTGATCCTCCTTATATCTCTTCTCTCCTTCCATTTCTTCAATAGGCAAAACTCATACTGGAACAGCTGTCCTCTCACACAGAGCAATCTTCCATTCTAAGTCTCTCAGCCTTAACCCAACAGATGGCTCTGTATTCTTGAAAACAAGTCAATACTTTTGAAATCAAGTAAAATATCATGTGAAATTATAGCCAATAAAGTCAACAAGCTTATCTATAACATCATATGGGCATATTCATTCCATCCATTTCACTGATTGGAAGTCAATTAGATCTTTAGTTACAATTTGATGTTTTTAAAACTTATAGTGAAGGTATCTAGAAAATGGCAAAAAAAAAAAAACCAACCCAAAGTGTATGTTTGGATACTAAGAGCTCTAAATGAATAATTAAGTGTCTCCCCTACCTTTTTTAGAAAACATAGCAAAAGAACTCCCAGGTGTTAGGCACTAAGGCCCACATTCTACCCCCACTGACTGCTGAACATAAACTAAATGTGCACTTCAGGAGGTTGCCAGTAGTGGGTAACACATTTTATTATTTTAAAAAACACAGAAATGATAAATCCCTAAAGATACAGCCTTTTCCCTTCTTATTTGCTCAGGAATCTGTTTTGGAAGCCAACTCAATGATTACTCCTAGGATATGGAATTTTGATATCCATTTGGTACTGATTTACACCAGTATTTTTAAGGCTGCCAACAAGAAAGTCCAGAATTTCAGGCAGCCAAATGTTCCACAAGAGACAACTGTCTTTTATTTTATAGCTTATGAATTTGGGACTTAATATGATTTTCCACTAACAAGTTCTAAAACCCCCTCCTGAATGCTAACGCTGGTAGAGAGATCAGTAGAGTAACATAGACCGTATGAGGCAAATGAATATTGAACTGGAAGGAAATTATATTGTTTACTTAGGAAAAAAGCACTCTAGTTGAAAGGGCTGACACATGATTTATTATGAACACTTAACTAACATGTTCGCATTTTTCATCCTCAATCCTGCTTGTGGTAGTTTTGGAGAAGGGGGAGTGGCACAGGAATCCAGTATTAATACAGTCATCAATTAAAGATGCACTCAATGTTGGTAAGCAGCTCTAAATATTTCATATCGTCTGTTTTTATGAAATCGTGAGGGGAAAAATACAGAGGCATGTTTAGTACGAAGTCACACTCAAATAACTTAGATGGATGACTCTTGTTTTAGGCGTAAGTACATGAAGAACCTGGCTACTTAAAAACAACACAATATTCTTCATTTCCAGAAATGCTGTGGCAAAATGAAACGCCCATGCATCATTAGAAAAACAGTACAGAATTATCCTTGGCTCCATACAATCTTAAGAAGAGAATTGAGGTGACAATAAATATCAGAATGCTGAAACAGTGAGGTGTGTTTTTCCAGCAGTCCTGAAATTTCTTCCCCAGGCGCCATGAAGAAGAGATGTATATGAGCGCTGAGATACTTAAATGCTCCACACCTAAATGACTTTTTCTAACACAGTAGGCTTGTCCGAGACTTTATGTTTCATAGCTATATATGCTCATGTGGTTTGATACATAATCATGTTCTCAATTTGAGTCAACAAAGATATATAGTAATATATAATATCAGCATAGAAAGCCATACCATCACTTATCTACAAAATTAGATAGCAAACACTGTACCTGAAATGCTTTTCAATAAAAAGAAGTGAATGATCTCACATAATTTCAAAGATGAGGCACATAGATAAAGATAAATTATTACTATAGTGAAAGCTCACCTCATCTACAAAGAAAACCATTACAGATGCCTTTGAGATTTCACACTAGAATGACTCAACTGTTCTATATCCTGGCCATGGGTCCTTTGAGGGAGGACAGAAGCTGGACCATGGTCACCCGATGTAGTCTGCCATCTTGACAGGGCAAAGCATTTCTGATGGAATCTCAGGCTGAGCTGAGAGGACATAACATTACATGTAAGCATCAGACAACATCATTCTACTTCTGAAACAGGAACTCTACGAAGCAGATTATTCCCACCATGTTGGCAAACTTCTGCCCAAGGAAGTTCAATGTAAGTAAAAGCAATTGGGGTGGGGGAATACAAAAATTTTGACATTCTTTCTTAACTTTTATAGTAAAAAACTTTATATAAAAAATCCATTTAAAAATATATCACTAAATGACTATGCAATTTATAATTCGCTAATAACATAATTTTATCTACACAAAAGTTAAAAATGGACACTGAGTAGATCAATTATTTTACACCCGAAGTTACTATATCTAAAAGAAAATAAAAGAAGAAAATTCTTTAAATTAATCTTGGAAGTTTCGGTCTGTACCTGTACTCTGTTAAGAGAGAGAGTATTGAAGCTGGGCACTGGTGGCTCATGCCTGCAATTCTAGCTACTCAGGAGGCTAAGATCTGAGGATCACAGTTCAAAGCCAGCCCAGGCAAGAAAATCTATGAGACTCTTATCTCCAATTAACCAGAAGAAAACCAGAGTGGAGCTGTAGCTCCACCAGCCTTCAGTGCAAAAGCTTAGGGACAGTGCCGTGAGTTCAAGCACCATTACCAACCAGATTGGCAGACAAGATCAGGACAATGTATCTTAGGTGACATGAGTACTGCTACTCATTGATGCTCGCTTTCTGCCACAGGCTGCAATTCTGGATCATTTACTCAGCAACGCATACATGTTTCACCCCAGTGGCATAGAGTTTCACAACAAGTTTCATTCTTAACTTCTCATTGGTTTTCCAAAAGACACCAGTTTAGACTTCAAATTGTGGATAGAAGGTGGTATATGGGAAAAGGCAAAGAAATGCATCTTTGAACTACAGACTACCACCTGTCTCAAAGCATAAGTGTATTCCTCCTGATTACCACTGTTATTTTGCCCTCATTCCTCATTCTGTCATAATTGGCATGTAATCAGCAATGTGATCAGGATACACTGTACTTCATTTCCATAGAAACATATTTGGTATTTGGTAATATTCATGGGAATTCATGTGGAATTCTAACCCTTCCCAAAACCAGGCAGGACAATCTATACGCTGATCCATCCAAGTTGGCCGAGTCCTGAGAGCAAACCATAAAAGACTCAAAGAAGAAATAACTTCATACTAAAGCTAAAAGAAATTGGAGAAACTTCACTAGAGAGGTTTTAAAATCCTGTCTGAAATACCGGGATTTTTTTTTTTTTAGGTAAGAATGATCCCAGTCCCCGAGGGCTTGTTTGAGAATATTTTGTTGAGCTGTTCGTGATTGATGGTGAGAAGCGAGTTGGTGCCATATTGTTTTATATTTGAACTTCATCTCCTGCTTCCAATTCATGGCCCGTACCACCGCGGTGCGTTCCTAATAATGCTGGCAATCTGGCAGAAGCCTGAATGGTTAAGAGTGAAAGAGATGGAGAAAAGCTAGGGGTCATCGCTTCTGGCAGAGAACTGCCATGGTAGAGAATAGGGGAGCGGGGGTATTCGTGAAGTACCTGTGCTGGGGCCATGGCTGGCATTCTTGGTGGAACTGCTTTAATGCCAGGCTGGGCTACTGCTGTGATCAAAGGAGGTAGACAAACAGAAGACTTCCTGTTTTTCGGGATGCCAGGTGTAGGTACATTTTCATCCTTTAGTTTTGCAAGATCATTAAACACTGAAGCAAGAGGCTGGAACCTGGGTTCCCACCTGAGCAGATAGTTCCAGGAGTCGCTGCCTCTGACATCATGATCACATGTGATCTGAGGTAAAAAGGTGGCACGTTTCACTTCCTGTGCCTCTGAAATGAACTCGTTCCTACCATCAGCCCGTACCTCCTGGCTTGTGTCTCTCTGCTGAAGCGCCTGAGGTAACTCATTATTCTGGACATACACTAAGCCTTTGCCTCCTTCTTCCCCCTCAAATGTATGGCTGGATTCTACTGCGTCAGCAATAGCCATTCCATCCGTCTCCCCAGACAGGCAGGAGAGCTGGTCTGAATCCCTAGGGATTCCTGAGTCTGGTACCCTGGACCCCCGCTCACTAAGAGCTGAATCTGAGTCCTTTCTGTAGGGATGTTCATTAATCTGCTGGATTTCCTTGTCTTCTGCCGTTTCTCCTTCGACCGAGCAGTGACCGCTGGAGTTTGAGTGTCTATACAAGTGGACAGTGTCCTTCTGCAGGATGCTTATTAAACCCAGCCATTCGGGCACGGTGCCCCCAGCCCCTGCCTCATCCCCGCCCCCCTTCACCTCCTGGAAGGCCTGGCACATATTAGCATCCGCCGTCATCCTCGGGTTGGGCTCCAGGTTGGATGATGTCTTCTTCTCCTTGGAACTGTGTGGGGTGTCTTCTTTTTGTTTATGTCTTAAAATCAGGAAAATGAGAGCACAGAAGACGAACAGAAACACCAAAGAGGAGACTGTGAGGCTGATGGAGAAGCTGTGGGCAGACACTGTTGCAAGGTTTCCTTCTGAGGATAGAGAGCCATTCACAAACACGCTGCAGAGTGTAAACTTGGAGCCTGGTTTGGGGCTATGAGCCATTATTTTCATTTCCAAGGTACCTTCTTTGCCCCTGTGACTGTCTAGGAAGGGAGGGGCTCGCACCCAATAAATATTACCATTTGTTTTGTTCACTGAGAAGAAAGGAGATGCAGTTTCAAGGGAGTAGAGAACAACCCCATCAGCGCCTGCGTCGGCATCGAAGGCTTCCACTCTGCCAATCAGCTGTCTCCCTCCAATCTTTGCAGGAAGGCTGAAAAAGTACTGATCTTGAGTGAAAATGGGCTCGAATTCATCTACCCCTTCAACCTCCACCCAGAGCATTAAGGAGGAGGTTAAGCCACCTCTATCTTCCGCTTGAACCACAAGGCAGTATGAATCAATGCTTTCGTAGTCAAGGATTTGCTTAGCTTGGATGTCACCTGTGAAAGGGTCAATGACAAAGAGATCATGAGCAGAAGGAATTCCATGGGTGACAAAACAGGGTGACAGAATAGAATAGGTCACTTCTCCATAAGGACCGGAATCCAAATCCACAGCATTTACTGAGCATATGGTGAAAGGCACAGGCCGATTTTCTGGAACGACACAATTCATGCTTGAGGACAAAAACTGAGGCATGTGATCATTATCATCTAAGACATGGATCAACACAACCGCAAAAGCAAATTGTTTCCTCTCTTCATCAGAGGCCCGGACAGTCAGAGTGAATTTGATGATTTCTTCATAATCCAGAGGCTTAGCCAGATAAAAAACTCCAGTTTTTGCCTCTAGGTGGAAATGTCCCTTCTCGTTTCCAGAAATGATGTCATAGACGATTTCTGCATGGGAACCGATGTCACTGTCATGTGCTGAGATCATGGTGATGTGGCTTCCGGCAGGGGTGCTTTCCTTGACATGGGCGTGGTATTCCAGACTGGTGAATTCTGGGGGACTGTCATTGACATCTAGCACTTGAATGGATACCACCATTGTGGAACTCAATGGGGGACAGCCATGGTCGGATGCTAGAATGACAAGCTGGTGGCTGTCACTGGCTTCTCTATCTAGATTGCGAAGCAACACAAGAGAACCAACTTGCTTCAAAGGGTATTCTGAGGGAAGGAGACGAGTTTCCACATGGAAGATGTTTTGTGATTGGCCACTGATGACGGCATACTCAACATGTGTGTTGTCAAGTGTCCAATCACGGTCAGTAGTTGAAAATGTGATAAGTGTACTTCCAATGGGAGTGTCTTCACTCAAGCTAAGATTATAGAGTTCTACAGGAAACTCAGGAGCCTGGTCATTCAGATCTGCTATTTTTACCTCCACTAATGTAAGAGCTTTCAGGGGAGGAATTCCACCATCATTGGCTTCAACAAGAAATCGAATTATTGACGTCGTTTCCAGAAGTAAGACAGGATTGATAGTAAATATGGTACCTGAGAAACAAGATGGAGAGTGTTAATGGTGTGAAATTAAATGTCCATCATTCATTTAGCCAGCAAATACTTCCTAAATATTTGAATGGATCTGGTTCATGATCAGATGTGCTAAGCTACTTCCATATAGAAGTATCTCAGAGGGCTGGGAAGGTGGCTCAGCGCTTGCCTTGCATGCATGAGGCCCTGGGTTTGATACCTCAGCACCACATAAGCAAAAAGAAAAAAAGCCAGAAGTGGTGCTGTGGCTCAAGTGATAGAGCACTAGTCTTGAGCTGAAGAGCTGAGGGACAGCACCCAGGCCCAGAGTTCAGGCCCCAAGATCAGACCCCCCCCCCCAAAAAAAGAAGTATCTCATAATAAATGTTTGTGGATTTTTTAAAGGCTTGGAGATAGCTAAATGGTAAAACACTTGCCTAGTATTCTTGAATTCAATACTCAGTATTGGGTTCAATACTCAGTACTACAAAAAAAAAAGATATTTGCTGTGGAAATAACTACTGCTTGATTACAGAGAAATTGTTCTTAAAGTTCATAGTTCAATAAGTGGATTTTTCTCTTAATGGAAAAAATCTTTAATACACTTTGTTTTATTAAATATAGAAATATATAATTTTATAAATATGTATATAATTTTTAAGATGAATGTATTTTAAGTATGGTCCCTAAAAAGCACACTAAATGTTAACATTTAAATGTCAGATTTCAATTCATGCCAGGACCTAAACTGACTTGAAACAATTCATGTTTTAAAAGCATTCTAATCTGGGACCTAGTGGCCCATGCCTGTAATCCTAGCTACTCAGAAGGCTGAGGTCTGAGGATTTCAGTTCAAAGTCAGCCCACTCAGTATAGTCCAGAACTGACTCTTATCTCCAATAAGCCACCAAAAAAACAGTTGTGTAGCTGTTGCTCAAGAGATATAGAGTCGTTAGCCTTGAGCACAAAGTTCATAGACAATATTCAGGCCCTGAGTTCAAGCCCCAGGACCAGTACACATACAGATTAAAAAAAAGCATTCCAGTCAACATCTCATTGCAATGGTTGTTGTATACAGCGATGGGCTATGCCAGCACTTGATATCATCTGAGAGGTGATATCAACAAGAGACACAGACAGGTACAGGAGAGAACGGACATCCAGATTCCTGCTGTGTTTGTCTGTACACATCAGTTATCCAGACACAGTATTGACAGCAATACTGTATACCCACAGCTCCCTTTACCATGCTCGGCAGGCCTCACTCTGCTATTTGTGCCTATAACCTTCTTTCAGGTTGTTCTAAAGTTAACTCTTAGCTTTACCTTGTGGATGCAGTGCTAGGGAGAGATGGGGACGCACAGTGTGCTGTATCCCAGGTCCTACTCTTTTCTAAGGTGTTCCCTGTAAAAGCAGTGATTTTCTTGGTTATTCTTCCTGACAGGATTTAGCTTTTCTTGTCCATTCACTGTTACACTTTCCCCATACTTTTTTAAACTGTTCTTGGCTGCAATTACTTTGTCTGAACATTTCACAACCACAAAAGTCTTGTTTGTGGATAAAGATGCAAAGAGCTTTGGAAGACATCAAGTAAACACCACAGTGCGTTTTGTTTGGCTGAGATGAATGCTTGAATTCATCCCTTTTTTTCTGTGCAGGTCCTGGGGCTTGAACTCAGGGCCGTGGCACTGTCCTGAGCTTTGTTGCTTAAGGCTAGCCTTCTACCACTAGAGCCACAGCTCTACTTCCAGCTTTTTGGTGGTTAATTGGAGATCAGAGTCTCACAGACTTTCCTGTCTGGGCTGGCTTCAAACCACAACCCTCAGATCTCAGCCCTCTGAGTAGCTAGGATTACAGGTTTTGCATTTTTATTATATTTTTCAATAGCCTTCTCTATTACCCTTTTTACTATTATTTTCTGTATTGAGCATATAATGCTATAATTGAATTTTTTCCACTTAGTTTAGAAAACCAGTTTCCTTTACTCTAATAATCAATCTTTCCAACATTATTATTTTCATCCTGGGATAACTGTTTGATCTGTAGCTGGTTAAACAAGTATCTTTTGCTTCCACTGAGATGCCAGAGAGGAGAAACAGCAGTGGCATTTGGTACCATAGTGTTTGATGTGAAATCAAATCAGCAGGTGGCGTTCAGGGTTTGTGGCAGGAGATTATTTTAGGAGCTTTCAGAAGGGGTTAGCTCATGTTCCCACCCTACAACCCAAACCTACGAGGCCCAAAGGCACTAGAAGTAACTCACCATTCACAGGATCAATGGCAAACTCCTGAGGAGAAGAAAGGATTCTGTAAGAAATGTTCTCACTGCTTTCTAAATCTATGGCTGACACAGATAACACTGAGTGCCCCAGAGGTACAGATTCAGGAACTGTCACCTGAAATGGGGGAAATAAAGGAGACATGATGCATAAGGATGAAACTATTCTCATAAACAGAGCTGACCATATGATCCTTCTATTCATTTTGATTATAGAAACTGCACTTTCATCAGACACATTAATGTATGCAGTTGACATATTAAAATGGTATGGTAATAGTCCCTGGATTCAGAAAGAAGTAATTTCATTCTGTTTTATTTATCTTTTTTGTCGGTTGTGGGGCTTGAACTCAGGGCTTGGGTGCTGTCCCTGAGCCTCTGTGTGCTCAAGGCTAGCATTCTACCACTTGAACCATAGCACCACTTTGAGGTTTTAAGTAGTTAATTGGAGGTAAGAGTCTCCCAGGGACTTTTCTGCCTCAGCTGGCTTCGAACCACAATCCTCAGATCTCAGCCTCTTGAGTAGATGTTTTAATTTTTATTATGACATTTTTTCCCTTCTGAACTATTTCTGCCTGGAAGAGGCTAGCGCAGTGGCTAAGGCTGTATAAGTCATGCAAGGCCTCCCAGGAAGTCACTGCTGAAGTCAGCTTTCTCCTGGGTTTAGTCTTAGGACTTGCTTTGGTGCAGTCAAGAGTCCTGTACTTTAGTTTCCTCAAGGAATGTTATCACTGCCTCTCCGTCTATAAACATACACTGGGCCCTAAGACCTAATATCTGACTTTTATTGATTTGCTCATGAGTTGGTCCTACAAGATGTTAGTCTGTGAAATAAACACTGCCTAGGAAAGAAAGAACTTTATCAAATTAACTTCAGATAACCCAAACTCCTCTGTCTTATCTCTGGCTTTGCGAATATTAGCTGTGTTTCAATAGTGAGGAACAACTGGATTCCAATCTCCTTTTAAAAAATTTAAGCTGACGACCTACTCAAGTGAGCCAAACGAGATGCTGAATTCCACAGGTACTTACATCCTCCACAAAACATTGAATCTAAAACCTGCAGCAGCAACTCAGGAGGAAAAGCTGACTCCTGTCTGCGTAACATGTGGTGAGCGATGGGAGGCTGACATCATTTGTTAGTCACAGTGGCTTCAGCCTCTCATGAAGCCTCGTACCTGGTAGATCTCTTGAGAAAACACTGGTGGGTTGTCATTGACATCCAGCACCCGGATGACAAGAGATCCCTGTGTGTGGTGCACTGAATCAGAAACGTGGATGAACAGCTCATATTCCGTAGCGTCTTCAAAGTCCAGTGGCTGAACCAACATCACTTCTCCCGTGTTCTGGTCGATCGCAAACTTGGTTCCAGGATTGCTCGCCTGGGTGATACTGAAGATGACAGCTGGATTCGCATCAGCATCATGAGCTGATACCCGAGACACAATGACACCAGGCAAGGAATCTGCAACAATCAAGACCACAGTCAGCCTCCGTTACAATTCATACTGCTCACAGTGTGCCCTGAATAGTTCAATCCAAGTATTTTCACATTCTAAGTTCAATATGGTTTGCTCTTTCTTGCATGAGTTCTCATACTAAACTTTTTATGAACTAAACAACAACTCTGAAGAATTTATGAACCCGATCACAAAGTGAAAATTTATCACAGAGTATGATATCGATGGCGCAGGGTTTATTCAATATGTTTATATTGCATTCTTTCATTCTAAACTTATAGCACAATTCCGCAATCAAGGAACATTCTAGGCACTTAGCTCTATGATATAATTTCTACATCAAAACCATAAATTCTCACATATTACTCAAAATGTAAAATTTTGAAAGGCAGACCAGACTTGAATGAGAATGTTTAGATACACATATTAGAATTAGTACATGTTTCCTTATATTTATTTTCAGTTATTCCTTCTCTGGGAGTGTACATTCTTTGATGCTGTTAAATCTGAATCTCAAAATTATTAAAACTACAGAAAGAGCCAGGTGGGCTCACACCTGTCCTCTTAGCTACTGGGGAAGCTGAGATCCGAGGATCGTGATTAAAGCCAGTCCAGGCAGGAAAGTACTCTAATCTCCAATTAATCATCAAAAAGCCAGAAATCGAGCTGTAGCTCAAGTGGTAGAGCACCAGCCTTGAGCAAAAAATTTTAAAAAAAGCTCAGAGACAGATCCCAGATGCTCCCTGAGTTCAAGCCCTAGGACCAGCACATGTGTGCATACATGCATGCACTCACAAACAGGCACACACACACACACACACACACACACACACACACACACACACACACACACACACACACACACATACACACAAACCCAGACCAAAGAAAGAACCCTACAGAAACACAAAACACAACTCATGTTAGAAATGAAAACAAATCTCTAATATTACTCTGGCTTTGGTAGATCACCTCTATAATCCTAGCTACTCAGGAGGCTCAGACCTAGAGAACTGATGTTGAAGGACAGCCTGGGCATAGAAAAGTCCATGAGACTCTATCTCCAAAATAGCCATCAGAACACTGGACTGGGGACATGGCTTACGTGGTAGAGCACTAGTTGAACAAGCAGAGAGGGCCTGCTTCAGTAAACTAAGTGAACTGAATATGAGGGCCTGAATTCAAACTCCAGTACTAGCAAAAACAAACAATGAAACATCCTCTAGGTTACACAGTCAGTATCGCACATACATGTGCTCTCCAGCCTAACTTCCCCTGAAACTGGCTTTGTTTCTAAGCTTCAGGTGTGGTACAAGTGGAAAGGATGGCTCCACTGTATATGAGACAAGATTCTCAGCTTTCAAGCTTAAGTTTGTTTTGTATATCAGGGTTTGAACTCGGGGCTCATACGTGCTTGTCTTTCTTGTTCATGGGTGGTACTATACCATTTGATCTATACCTCCAATACAGCGTTTTGTAGCTAACTGGAGATGGAATCGGGCAGATTTTTCTTCTTGAGCTGGCTTACAAACCCTATCCTTCAGGTTTCAGCCTCAGGAGTGGACAGAATTAGAGGTGTGAGCCATCAGACAGAACTAAGCTTAGCTTAGCTCAGACAGCTAAGTTTGAGCATTCTCAATGCTCACCCACATGTCTTCTGTATTCAGTTCCTTCTGGCTCATGCCTATACTGTGGGCGCATTACTGTATCTTAACATCGCTGTCTGCAGGGAGAAGTAATACTTTCAACCATATGAAAATACATCATATAAGTGAGAGGCAAAACTGAAGGACTTTTTTTTATTGTAGAATATACTATTTTTAGACATCCTTATGCATAAAACTTTTCAACCCTTGGTGAGAGGTGGCTTTTTGCAAAACAAATGTAATCAAATGTAAGGAGCACTTTAGGAAAGAACTGGATATTAAAAAAAAATGAGGCAGAGATCATAAGCACTGAAATTAGGGTCCAGCTCAGGCAAAAAAAAAAAAATACGTAGTGAGACTCCACCTTTACAAACAAGCCAGGCATGGTGGTTTATGTCTACATAAACTGACTGAGGCTGGCTCTAAGCAAAAAGCACAAGAGTTTATCTGAAAAAAAAAAAAAAAGGCTACAGCAAAATGGACTGGAGGCACAGCTCAATTGGTAAAGTAGCTGCCTCTGAAGTGCAAGGGTCTGAGTTCACACTCCAGCACTGCCATTCCTCCACCAAAAACAAACAAAACAAAACAGGGTGACAAAATGAGGGGCCACCACTGCTTTCAATTCCAACCACAAAGAGATGAGCTGTAACCCAGCAGTGCAGCCACTGCTACAATCCACCAATTACTCCATAAAATGAAGGCAGAGTACTTAGCTTGCATGACCATTGAGAACAAACACTCATAGTTAATATATCATCTGGCTATAAAATGAAAAAGGTACTGTGTAAGCCAAAACACCATCCCACACTTACTTTCTGCAATTTCGACTGTGTCCCAGGGGGGCAAAGTGGGAGGATTGTCATTTCTGTCGGTCACCTGGACCTTGATCACAGCTGTGTCAGAACGCTGGGGCACCCCTCTATCCGTGGCTTGCACGATCAAGCTGGTTTGAAAAAGAATCAGGGAATGTTATGTTCCTTCAGGAATCCAGCCAGCATAGATAGGCAGTCAAAAATTTAAAAATGAGCTGCCTAGCTGCTTTTATTTCTCCCCTGGCTTCTTCTAAATGGCATCATTTAAAATGCATTCCACACTGGCTTACCCTAGCTCCTAGGGAGACTGAGATCAGGAGGATTGAGGTTCCAGTCCAGTTCTGGGCAAAGAAAGAACGAAAGAAAGAAAGAAAGAACGAAAGAAAGAAAGAGCGAAAGAAAGAAAGAAAGAAAGAAAGAAAGAAAGGAAGGAAGGAAGGAAGGAAGGAAGGAAGGAAGGAAGGAAGGAAGGAAGGAAGGAAGGAAGGAAGGAAGGAAGGAAGGGAAAGAAAGAAAGAAGGAAGGAAAGAAGGAAGGAAGGAAGGAAGGAAGGAAGGAAGGAAGGAAGGAAGGAAGGAAGGAAGGAAGGAAGGAAGGAAGGAAGGGAAAGAAAGGAAAGAAGGAAAGAAGGAAGGAAGGAAGGAAGGAAAGAAGTTCATGAGACCTCCTCTCAAGAGAAAGAAAACTGGGCAGGGTGGTGTGTAGTATATTCATCTTAGCCAATTGTAGACACTATTTTTTAAAGAAATAGTCTTGAATTTGGACACAATTTCTTTCCCCTTGTTAGCATCCTTTAAGTTTCTTTTTCCAATCCTAAACATTAGAAAAAAACAATGTAACGTAAACGTCGGTTCTTTTGTGGGTGGAACTCCACTTAGGGGGCATGATCACGGTGTACCTGCCACACACGAGGCCCAGAGTTGGTGCTTGAGACACTATTATCGCCGGGATCTCAGTAGAATAAGAATTTGGAAGTCACAGTTATGTCTGGAGTTGAGGAATGACTCCATGTGGAGAGGTGATTTTGTGAGCATGACCATCGGTCCGGAGCATATGGAAAGACTTTACTGAAAATAATCAGCTCGTAATACTTTCTCCCTCTGCAGTCTACACCTTCTTGTTACCTAAAGTCTAAGCCAAGACATCAAAATCAAAGTCCCATCATCCTCTTTTACTGTAGATACAGTCACCTTTATATTTATAATGTTACCATCATCAGATGGGGGAAATATGAGATTTTTTTTATAGGGAAAGAGATATGTTTTCCAATTTCAAAACAAAACAGCAAGGAGCAGCTTTCCCAACAGCATGAAGAACAAATAAGAAATGATGGAAGTTGAACTGCAGAGATTCTGCCAGAGAGACGGTCTGGGAGACCTCAAGTTCATCTCTGATGGCTCCTTGGCACTGGGAGTGAAACCATTGGTCGCAACCCATCCAATTGGCTTTGTCCCTCAGAACTGTTGTCCTGATTAGTGCAATCAGCGAAGACTGTCAGTGAAATCGGCCAGACGCAGGACAAAACATATTGTTCCTGTTTGCCCAACCATGGGAAGTTTCATCTACTGTGTTAAGTTTACAAATGAGGCCTTTGACCAGGCAAGGTCTAGCTTGATGGCTTTAACATACTGAAATTGTTGGCAGGGGAGTTTTTTCAATGACTTTCTCTCCTATATCTTTAATTTCTACCAAGAAATTTTCTGTTCCTTCTGAAATTCTAAGAAAAGTAATCCTATAAAAAGAATGGGGATTCCTGGTGAAAAACAATAAGCTGACTTCTTAAATTTATCTGCGCTTTCTCCCAAGAATCCACTCACATGATGGAGAGGACATTTGAAATAATGTTCACAAGTCTAGAGAGAAACGGAAGGTAAGATTGGTGAGTGAGATGGATAAGTAGTATTAAGATTTTTGGAAGATGCAAGAGATTAAGATGCAGGGGTTGGAGAAAATTTGGTTACGTAGATGCAACACCAAAAGTGGACCCTAATGTAACTTAGGGATGTGGGTGATGATGTAGTGTCTATGCAGCGATATTGGAGGAGAAATGAGGTTCCCTCTCAAAGACTCTCTATATGCTGTCATCCACATGTCACCCAAAAAGTCAGCAGTGCCCCTGCTGCTTGCTCTGAAAGAGAAGAATGTGAACCAGAGCCCTCTAGTCACAGAGATTCTAGTGACTTTCTATCTCTCCACTCATATTCAAGGGTTATCAGTCACCTACAAAAAGCCTCCAGAACAAATAAGAGAGCTCAGAATAGACAACAAGGGAAAAGAATGAAGGGAACTAAAGGAAATTTAACATTTCTAACCAGTGTCCTTGGACAGTCACGAGAAGCTAATGCAGACATAAAGTAAGAACAGGTACTGTGAAAGATACCAAGGAACATGGAAGATCTGTTTCAAAGTGTGCAAACGTATATATACCTCAGATGTATAATATACAACATATTAATATGTAAATATGATATTCTTCCAATTTTAATTGGAACACAAAACTAAAGTTTATAAGATTAAAATTAAAGAAATAGCCCCGAGAAGTACAACAATAAAAATAATCCAACAAACAAGAAATGGGAAGCTGAAAATAAAATATAACTAACCAAGGATTTTTCATGACAATCCAACATTGCAAATAAGATTGACACCTATTGAATAAGGCCTTAGGAAAAAGAAACATGGAAAAAAATACAGGACAAAAAAAAAATAAGAAACAAAACAGAAAACAGGAAATCATCAATGAAATAATGCATGAAAGTAGAAGTCTCCTTATTTAAGCAGACCTGAGTATTCAGCATATGGAGATTCAAAGTATATATAACAAGATTTCTAAATATGATGTATAAAAAGAGTCACTTAAAAACTTCCAAAGAGAAAAGGGAGAGGGTGGAAATCATCATAAAAAGTAATTAGAACTCTGTAAAACTTCTCAACCAAAACCATGGGTTTTAGAAAATAAAAAGAACAATGCCTTTTATTCTCTTATAAAAGAAGCTGGCACAATGGCTCACACTTATAGTCCTAGAAACAGGGGAGGCTGAGAAAAGACTAAGTATAAAGATCTTGAGACCCTAGCTTAATCAACTAGAACCTGGATGAGGAGGCATGCGTCTACTATCCCAGCTACCAAAGACTTTGCAACCCAAGACTCTTGCTTGGTAAATAGTTTTCAGAAATTTATAACCATCTACCAGAGAGTTTTTTCTTTCGTATTTTATAATTTTTTCTTTTCTTTTTCGTGCCCTAGTTCAATGTATTCAACTTGTAGGCCTGGTGGGACCACGCCAGACCAGGTTTTTAAACCTGTGGTATGTCTTGACAACATATGTAAATTTAACGTATACAATTTGGATTCACCATGCATTAATACTTTGTGTGTCACATTGAATAAACTCAATCTACATCCAGAATAATTTACATGAAAGGACAATATTTATTTAAACAGAGCTCAATGGGGGGACCATGGTATCTCAGGGTGCATCCAGAGAAAAAAGGGGAGGAGGTGCCAAAGAAGACTCAATCAAAAGCACTTCCATACCTTCACTGTTTGTACCTTCACTGTTTAATCTATACTGCCATAGATAATTTTCATAACTTACAATTTTTAATAATCTTTCCACTGAGTTTTCTTAACTGTGTTCTCTTATGAAAACTAACAACAACTGATACATTTATATTTAGTGGAATCATAACTGACATACTCTGCTTTATTCACTTATCTCCTTGTCTTGGTGAAGAAGTAGGGGGAAGAGGTAGAGGGGAAAAAAGAGGGAAGGGAAGGAGGAAAGGACTGAGGGAAGGAGGGAGGGAAGGGGGACAGAGGAAGGAGGAAGAAGAGGAGATATGATACCCTCACACAGACACCTGTGTGGGGGAGGGGGGGTCAACTCCTTTTGGTTCTTGTTTCTCCCAATTTTGAGTAAAATTCTTCATAAGGAATTAGGGGAAAAGGCGTGTTTTTTTTTTTTTTCTTAAAAATAGTGGGACCAATTTAAATGTTGAGAACATAGAAACTATGACGCAAATGGGAAACAGTTGAAAGTTAGACTTAATTATCAATTAGGCTCCATTGAGTAAGAACACTTAACAGAAGTCATTACAACTGGAAACCACTTAGTTCACGGAACATAAAGCAGACTTCCAATAATCTCTTCTTGTGATCACTCAAATAGCACTTGGGCTGAGAGTTACCTGCATTACTCCAGGGAGGAAAAACTCCTCATACTTAAAATTACTATAGCAACAATGCAGGAATAGGTTTTAATGTATTTATAAACAAGAAAAATTAATTACATTAAAACATTACTCAAAAAATTCCAAATAGTTAATGGTAGAGTCATAAGCTTTAAAAATACTTTTGAATTACTATTTAAAAGCATATTAACCAAATAAATGAAAAAAGCCATTTAATTAAACTTTTGATTGGAATGTTTTCTTAGAGGTTAAATATGCCAAACATATTTTGTTTTAACCAGTTCTCATTGCTTAACCACATGAATGTATTGTACACTCTTCATAAAACATGAAAGCAAGCAAGTCACAAGACAACACTGACCTGGATTTGAGAATATCTGTTTTTTCTTAAATAGGAGATCCTCTCTGAAGCTTATATGGTGGAAATAATGTGACTCTGGCTCAAAATTTCTGGGGGTAAGTCAAAATTTGATCTAAGATAGTAGCAAGACCTAACCAAGCCACTGTAGGTCTGTAGGTCTGTAGGTCTGTTTCGTCCTCAGGCTGTAAGAACATTGCCCACCTAGTTCCTGATGGACTAGAAGATGCAATGAAATACAGTGCCCTCACTCCAGTGATGTTTGTCTCACAGCTTCAGTTACCCACAACCACCCAAAACTGAGCGTGGGAAATGGAAAATCCTAGAAGCAAGCAATTCCTTTTACGTTGTAGAGATCTGAGCATGAAGTCACACACTGCTATAATTCCATCTGTTCAGGAGACAGAGATAGAAGGATGACCCTAGTCAAAAATCATGAGATCATAGCTGAAAAAAAAATGAGGAATGGAGGTGTGGCTCAAGTGGTAGAGCACCATTTTTGGTGAAAGCAATGACAGCAGGCATTTGTAGTGACCACTGTTCAGAAGGCATTTCACAAACGTGGTCTTTGTAATGACCTTCACTGAGTGTTCATGCTTCACAAATGCATAACGTGTTACGACTAGTCCAATCATTTTTTTTAAAACAACAAACAATTTTTAAGACTAAACATGCCCAAAAGAATGATCAAGCAGAGTGGCTCCTACCTAGAACTCTGAGAGGCTGAGAGAGTTGGAATCATGACCTTCTGAAGCCAACCCCAGCAGATTTTCCAGATTCCTTCTCAAGGAAGAACTAGACACAGTAAGCCCATACTTGATATCCTAGCTGCCCGGAAGTCTAACATAGGCAAAAAGTGAGAACCTAACTCAAAACTGACAAGCAAAAATTAGAGCTGGAAGCAAGTGCCGGTGGTAAGAATGCCTGTCTAGCAAGTATGAGGCCTTGAGTTCAAACCTGAGTATTACCAAAAATAAATGAGCCCTGGTGGCTCATGCCTGAAATCCTAGCTACTAAGATTTGAGGATCACTATTTGAAACCAGCCTAGGGCAGGAAAGTCTGTGAGACTCTTATCCCCAATTAACCACCAAAAAAGCCAGAGTGGTACTATGGCTCAAATGGTAGAGTAAGAGCCTGGAGTACAAAAGCTCAGGGACAACACCCAGGCCCCAGGACAGCAGAAAATAAACAAAAGGGAAAGCACAGCTGACAACTCAGTTGTCTACACAACAGGAAGTTGAGCCCCTAAATGAGAGGTGAATAAGCAACCCCATGGATGTCAGTCCTGGACAAACCTATAGGAGCTGGTAGACTCATAATCCAGATCTGCCTTCGTGGTTATCACACCGCTTGTGGCATCAATGTGGAAGGCTTCTTCTTCATTGCCAGAGAGAAAGGAATAATCAACCAGGCCCTTCAACCCACTGTCCGGGTCAGTAGCAAACACCTGTGAGAAAACAACTCTTCCATTAGGAAAGATTTCATCCTCAATATGTATGACTAAGCCTGCTTTGCAGAGAAATGCATTATGAAAGAATCACAGATTGTCAAAGGTGTGTTCTAAACAGTGATGAAAATGATACTAGCAAGCCTGGTGCCAGTGGCTCACACCTGTAATCCCAACTACTCAGGAGGCTGAGATCTGAAGATCACAGTTCAAAGCCAGCCTAGGTAGGAAAGTCCATGAAATTCTTAATTCTAATGAACCACCAAAAAGCAAAAAGTAGAGCTGAGGCTCAAGTGGTAGAGCTAGCCTTGAGCAAAAAGCTCAGAGACAGTACCCAGGCCCTGCCAGGCCTATCCCCAGGATGGGCACAGCATGCACGTGCACGCGTACACATACACACACACACACACACACACACACACACAAAATATACCAATGTACAGCTTATATTTAACTCTATAATAAAGTGGACAGTGGACAATGGGGGAGAAAAGTCCTGCACACTCATCTGAAGGATTTCCAAGTAACTTTCAGATACTTTTGGGCTACCATTTTATGAAATAGACAAAAATAATGGAAAGAAATCAAATGTGCTTGAATAGATGACTTCCAATGCTGAATATGGGTTCATGCTTGAAGCAGAAATGGAAATAATGACACAAGAAACATACAGTTGTTGTAGTAGGGAAATTAAGGATGAAAAATAATAGTTGATTTAGGTTACATAGGAATTAGAAGCCCCTGCTTATCAATAATGTATGATTTTGGAATATAAATGTAACTGTGCTTTTGTCATTGTAAAACCGAACTGTAACCCCCACCAAAAGTATTCTATCTCTGCCCCTAGACAGGACTTGTATACTGACTAAACAGCTCTTTTAGCTTCTGTAACTCTGCTTCTGCTATTATTAAGCCACCTCATCCTTTATTCTATTCCCCAATAATCTCTAGGCTGGAAGACCCTGGTGGGAAGTTTGAACTTAAGGCTCAACGTTTTAGAGTGACCACTGGCCAAAATGGACAGCCTCCCCCTCTCCCTGTCCCAGGCGAGAATGCTAAAAAGCTGACGCAGGCTCGGGTATGTTCCTGTCCCATCAGCGCTTTCTGGCTCAAATAAAATTTTGTTTTAACCATAACTCATCAGTGGTTTTTGGGCTCTCAATGTCTATTGGTCCTTGGGTAATACAATACAGTGAGTGATCATTTTTCATTCCTTTTTATTCCTTGAAGTATGTATTAAGACAGAACACGTGTGAATTTTTATATTATATTCAAGTTTTAAGGAAATCTTTTTTTTGAAAAATGAAACAAAGCCTAGACTTAGGGATGACACATTTAGATTCTGATTCCTTTTATGTGGTGAGTTATCAGATAGGAAAAAAGTTTTCTCTCACTCTTCCCTGGAGAGAAATTGTCTAATTTGCATGAAATTTTATTCACTAACCCAGTTATAGCAATTTTGTTTAAGACCCAAATTGCCAAGTGCATTATTTGCATGTATGGAAATTTGATGATGAAGCCCGTTCCTGTGCATAATTCAATATATGCCCATTTAAAGAACAATGCCTTACACTAAAACTGGACCTGATGCACACTTACTGGTTTCCTTCACAGCTGCACATTTTCTGAGCCCCTCAGCCTTACCTGTGCACATTGTCATCTCCATCCAGGTCTGCTCTACTACACTGATGTCCTAATGGAGTTTTGCTTCTAATCCCTTCCCTCTCAATCTACTCCTCACACTGCTTTGTGGGTCCTCTGGGGACCTGGAGGCCATATGGAGTGCCCAGGGCCTCATCAAGTGAGCACACAAGCAGTTATTTGGTACAAAAAGGTATCACCTGGAGGAGAACCTGGCCTCCACCTGGAGACACATAAAGCCTGTCATGTCTCCTGGGGCTGAGTACTTAAAAGCGTTACGGGGGAGTATCTCAGGGCAGTGAGTCAGTGAGTGCTTTAGTGTGCCTGCCAATGTGTCCACGAGGCCAACTTCACCAAGAGAGAATGAATCAAAACAAGGCCACCTCAAGGAAGACAAGCAGTGATTGGCTGGGAGGATGGGAGGGTCTGCCACCGACTTCCAAGTCATTACCACAGAGATGAATCAGCTCTGCTCGCCCTCTGTCTTCACGTTTCACCATCTGAGACTCAAGTGCCAAGGAGAACTTCTGCCTAAGGCAAAAGTGCTTCACGACACCTTCAAGGGGGGACAGGGTGGAAGTGGGACCACAGAGAAGGATGATCCCTTAAAGAGAGTTTATAGGGTTGTAATCCAAAGGAGTGCAGTGGAAAAAAAAATACAGGAAGTAGCCACTACAGGAACCAGAACCTTCTACATTAGGGCCTTCTGCATTTCTCTTCTGAATCGGAAAGAACATGAGAGCTAGCTGCCTATGAACTAAGTAACCCATAAAAAGAGCAGCTCGTCCTATTTTAAGATTCATATTTTATACTTGTCTGTTTTCAGTTCATTCACTGTTATGTCCCTGACTTGGTCTTCTACACATCTACCATAAGGAGACGAGGCTCTCCCATATGCCACACTGAATGTGTACTCGTTGGATTTATTTCACTCTGAGAGGCTGACCTTACTCTGGCTAGCATGTAAGACAGAGAAATACCATGCCAAAGGCCCGGGACAGGAATCAGCTTGTAGCAGAGGGCCACCAGAGGTATCTGCCATCCCTAGCAAACAGCCTCACACTGGGCAGGGATCATAAAGACTGGAAACGTTGGTGTCTTCACCTGCAGGGTTATCTCCATGTTGGTTGAAACCAGAGTCAAGGCCTAGCACTATAGGGGACAGGCTGTTGAGTGGAGCAACCAGACTGCTATAAGACAAAATAATTCAGAAAGAGCAGCTGGGAAGATCCCAGATGTCCTAGTCTGTGTATGAGGTAGAAGAGGATGGGGGACACAATGCTAAACCTATAAGACAGCTGAGCTTCTACCAATCCCCACCAGCACAGAAAATCTTGTGTATCAGGACCTGGACTAGAAGTAAAATGGTATCTTTCTCTGTGCTCAGGTGAAGATAGTAAGAAGTAAGACTGCAGTTGGCCTAGTCCACAAATTGACTAGCAGGCCCTGGATACATGTACGCCCACTAGCATAGACAGAAAACTTCAGATGTATGAATAGGTGTGATCACAAACCAGCATTCTAGAGACAAAGGCAATGGCCTACTCCAAGCTAAGTCTATCTGAAAGGTGGTGCTGACTTTACACAGGCTCAAGAGGACTTAGAGAGCTTCTGGTGCCCAGCTTCATGAGACTCACTTTAATGGTGAAGGGAATGGGAAAGGACCCTAGTCTAAATGCAGACAGAGAAACCACCAAACAAGGATGGCTCTCAGCACCAAATAAGAGAGAGAAAATAAGGAGAGACAAATAGGGAGAGAAAGGGAGGAGAACGCAGTCATAATACTTGATGTATACCCTATGAAACTAAGAAAATTAAGAGAAAGGGTTGGACTGGAGTGGATGGGGAGAATGAAGAAAAAGGTGACATTGATTAGGATGCATTGTACTTATAAACTGATTTGTTAATACTTCAAGATAATAAAATAGAATTTAAAAAAGATGTTATCCAATCCATCAAATAATGTATATATCCTGCAAATACTGAAATTTTATTTTATGATATAAGCCTTAGATGTGTTGATATATGTTGCATGATGATTCTATTACACACACACACACACACACACTCATATTCACACCCACACCCACACATGCATTTCTGTTACCTGTATGACATAAGTATTGTAGGGCTGGCCTTCAGACACTGATGCCTGGTAAACTCTTTGCCCGAATCGTGGAAAGTGATCATTCACGTCCTGTATTAAGATGACTACTTTGCTGTAGGCTATCTGCCCACTGCTTTCAGCTAAAATAATGAGTTGTACTTCACTCCTGATTTCAAAATCAAGGGATCTGGGTTTTTTCACGGTGAGATGTCCTGTATTTATTTCCAGGGAGAAAAAAAAAGAGAGAGAGGAAAGAAAAAAATGTGATGTTACTTGTAAAGTATTCTATCTATGAGTATTGACTCATGTATTTGCATGCTCATTGTCTCTCAAAAGACCACCCTTGGGGCCTCCTTTGCCCACTGACTGGGATCAGTAAAAATAAAAGCTGGCAACTTACAGATATTTGCAAAGTTCAAGTAGATACAGAAGAAGAGAATCTGAATGTCTGAGAGCGGCCTCTTAAATGGGCCTCCTCTCCATGGGAGCCCTCGTCCTGTGTGAGCCACCTCTGTCCCCCGCGGCTGTGCCCCTGACCCTTTCACTCTTGGTCTCCTGAATTATCTTCTCTCTTCACCAAACCTGTTTCCATTGTGAACTAGATCACAAAGAACGCCATCATCATCCTGCATGCAACGCCCGTTCACTGGCTTTCCTGGCCACTGTGATCCAGTCGAGCAGCTTCAGCTTCCTGGATCCATTCCCACCTCCACCCTCAGGGGTATCCTTCATAATTTTGCTCCACATTGCCATCTCTGCGGCAGCCATTGCACATACCCATCTCTTGTTTGCTCACTTTGGAGCTGCCAGGCATGTGCCCCCAGTGACCTGAAAAGATGCACCCACCCACCCACCTCTGCCATCTCTAGCCTTTCTCAAGGACTCTCCCGGACTTTTACCTTCATTGTGTCAGCCCCCAGCAGACTCTCAGAGCAGCTGCATTGCAGGCAGCCATGCAATCGTGCTGTCTACCTGATGCAGTCTTGTTGCTCCTTTGATGTATGAGCTCCTCAAGGTGAATCAGAGACCATACCTGACTCTGACCCAACATCGTCTCTCCAGTGCTCAGTGCAGGGGCTTGCCTGCACAAGGCCAACCACGTACCACCCTTCTACACAGCCTCGCATCACACACAGCCAGGTTAGGAAACAGACTTTGGAGAATGAGGCCTTGGCTCAAGTTTCTCTCCCAAATGAAGGAATTCCTTTCAAATAACGGCCTTCTCTAATTTCTGCTCTGCTTTCTTCTGTCCTTTCTAAAACAAGGCTTTTGATCCAATTTACTATTACGATTCACTTGGTTTTCACTGTCAGAAATTTCATCAAATAGAGATTTCCAAATGAGCACTGATGTGGAGTTACTGACACCTGAAACCAAGAATAGAACTCTTTCCTATCCCACCCCACCCCCTCCTCCACCTCGCCATGCTGGTTATGTAATTTAGACAAATTGCCAGACTCTATCACCTATTAATTTTTGTGACCTGGAGGGAAGTTATCCAGGTCCTACAAAGCTAAGGCTCTTCTTTCTAAAGTGGGGTAGGGAGGTGTTAGTCATGACTTCACTGGGGGACCGTGAAGGGAAAGCTACGTAATGGAGTCTGGAAAGGCTCCTTCAGTCGCAAATAGATTTCAGCATGTGCAGCCATGTCTGTCTGTCCCTAAGCCATCTCATCTAGCTTTACTGTCTTTGTGAACTCTAGATTTAGAAAGAGAAAATCTAATATACATGGAATTTTAGAAGTGTAATCTCTCATAAAAAGACCTGTGCCTGGAAGCCATGCCTGTTTCCAGATACCCAAGCTAATCCAGAAAAACCTTCCAGATACCTAGCAGTTCCTTAAGTTCTGGTGAAACGAGTGTCTTGTTACAGTAATGTATCTCTGGCCTTGAGTGTGTGCAGGGAGGTTTTATAGTTTACATTCCATTACTCAGAATGATTAAAGACTTCTATATTAGGAACTCTCAGAACTACCACATTTAAGCTGTGACAACTCCCTATCATTTTTTTTTTTGACACCACATTTTGGTATCAAGTTAGTACTAGGACTGAGTTGGACTGTGTTTATTCATTTGTTTAGATCGTACTAGGGATTTCAACTCAGGGCCTTGTACTTGCCAGGTAGGTACTCTACCGCTTGAGCCACACCTCCTGTCCTTTTCTGCTTTAATTATTTTTCAGGTAAGGTTTCATATTTTCCTCCAGGGCTAGCCTCAGGGTGTGACCCTCATATCTATGCCTTCCAAGCAGCAAGGATGACAGGAACATGTCATCATGCCTGTTTTGTGTGATGAAATGGGTGTTTTGTTTTTGTCTTTTTTGCTAACTTTTTCCCCAGGATGGCATCCCAATTTGTGCCTTCCAAGTAACAAGGATTACAGGAGTGAACCACTGCACCCAGCAGGACAAAGTTACTTTTACAAACTACAATTGGTTGTGACCAAGACCCCTGACAGAACAGCCCTAGTTTTTGGCAGCTACAAAATCATTTTGACATATTTTTGCGGGTTAGTGATGAAAGTAACTGGTCTTCTGAAATGTTTGTGCACAAGGGCTGACTGCTGCACCCTAAACCCATGGCTGAAGTGAATCCACAGCTCTCAGCACTGGAGCCCTCTCTAGCAAGCAAAACACTCTGCTACCATAGTCTCCTTATAAAGGACCAACGAAATGGAAATTTAACAGTAAATTTCAAGAGTCATCTAGTAGAAAGTGTGCCAATTATGGTACAGATCAAAGTGGTTTTTAAAATAAAAGGCTTGTGTTGGAGCTTTGATAATTGGAATTTTACACTTGGAATGGATCTACAAGTCTAATGCTTTCTGTGCTTGGAGTTTATTTTTAGCATAATAACTGGAACTTGCTGTGAAATCTGTACAAATGGAGAAGACAATAGCCAATATTTCAGGGCTAGCACACCTACTGAGTCCGTGGGTCACCTTGGGTGATATGTGTGCATTTTTTTTCTCAGAGACATTAAAGATATGGATTTGAGGGAAATGAGTGTTCTACTGTAATCAGCCTAATAGCATTCACGGGCTGAAATGTCTATGTGTTTTCTACAGCAGGAAGCCTCATTAATACCACTTTCAACATTCCTACTTGTTAGAAAATAATATTTTCCTTCTAACACATGTAAAATGAGATTAAGATTCTTCAAATGCTACATGCTTGATAATATAATCAGGTTACCCCAATCAGTTACACACTGTGGGCCTTCATCCGCACCAGTGAATCTAAAGCAGAATGTGACAAATATTTATGTTATCCAATAGCTTTTAAACTCTCTCCTGCTATGAAGCTCTCTTTGAAACAGTGAAGTTTGACCATCTTTGTTTTATGTCAATCTACCAAATAATGGACTGACCACTACCATCTGTTATTTACATTCACAATCTCAGTCAAATTCTAAAATTATGCTGGTTTAGACAGTAATAAATGTTTTTAATCCAAAGTGGCATGAAGTTTAAATACAAAAGTCAGTCGTTGGATTATAATTATGGAACCGAGAGGTTCCTTACATGTTTATCTCCAGGAAAAGTGACCACAACTTTAGAGATCATTTTTACGAATGCATTCTGCATACCGGTTTTCTATTTTAATCAGTTTATGATTTAAAATACACACATCCGGAAAACCTACGAGAGCTACTTTTAGACACAAGTTTAGTGATAATGTGCCAAAGACAGCGGGAGAGATTCCTTTCATATCATAATTCAAGCTTTGAAAAAGCCTTCTTGACAGCAATATGGCAAACCATGTCCTTGACTGATACATGATAAAAAAAAACAAGTGAATTGCTTGATGAGATACATATGCACATATAAACACGTTACATATGCATATACATGTATATGTGTGTGCATGAAAATTCATTATTGAGTTGGTACCATTGTATGAAAGTCCCAAAGGACAAAACAGGAATCCAGGGAGGAAAGAGGAACCCCAAGCCCCATGTTTGTTGTGAGGGTTTCTCCCAAGACCTTCTACTTTGAGCTGCATCTCTGATCATTGCATAAAGTATATAAGACAAGGTGAGAAAACCCATAAAACCCATAAAAACCCATACAACCCAGAAAAGGTTAATGGGCTAATAGAAGAAAAACAACATACTGTTGAAACCCAAAACTGTGTGTGTGTGGGGGGGGGGGGGGGGGGGAGACGGTGGTGGGTGGTGTATCCCAAATGACTGATCACTATTAAAAATGAAAAACAACCGGGCACTGGTGGCTCATGCCTGTAATCCTAGCTACTCAGGAGGTTGAGATCTGAGGATCGAGGTTCAAAGCCAGCCCAGGCAGGAAACTCTGTGAGACTCTTATCTCCAATAAACCACTAGAAAACCGGAAGTGGCACTGTGGCTCAAGTGGTAGAGTGCTAGCCTTGAGCTGAAGAGCTGAGGGACAGCGCCCAGGCCCAGAGTTCAAGCCCCACGACCAACCAAAAAAAAAAAAAAAACAACTAAAAGTGGATACACAGAAACTTCATTTTCTTAGGTTTGGTCTTCACTGAGAGGAAGGAAGAAAATTACCTATGAGAATCCATTAGCTTAAGCTTGAAGTTATAGTAGCCATATTGTCCTAGTTCGCTACTTTTTAAAAGCACCTATGAGTTAAATTTAAAGTAGTTTCCACTTGAGGTCTCCAGGTGAATTTCTGAAGGGAAAGAAAATCTTCTCTAACAGGTACAATCTAGACTTCAAAGGATGCTCGGGCAAAGCTACAAGGAAAAGGAACAGCTTCTGTGCTTACAAGCATATAAATCCCAGCAAATACTACATAATGGATGATAGCAAGCAAACCCACAGACTGCAGGAGCAGCATTTAAACACAATGCTGAAATTACTGCATGCAGAATTATGTATCCTCTTTCATTATAAACACACACACACCTTATATTTTGTAGGGTTAGGCAGTCAACCCAGGGACTCACCTATTTGAGGCAAGCACTTTACCAGTGAGCTACATCCCCAGATATACATTTACATACATTAAAAAAAGAACAGAAGCCTGGCACCAGTAGCTCACATCTGTCATCCTAGCTATTCAGAAGGCTGAGATCTGAGGATCACTGTTCAAAGCCAGCCCAGGCAGGATAAGTCCATGAGACTCATCTCCAATTAACCATCAACAAACCAGAAATGGTGCTGTGGCTCATGGTAGAGTGCTAGCCTCGAGCACAAAGAAGCTCAGGTACAGATTCCAGACCCCCAACTGACAAAAAAAATAAGTAAAAAGCACCTCAGATCAAGGAGCAACAATTGTTTTTTAAGATCAAGAAAAGTTGAAAAACATCAGAGAGCTTTTGGAAATAGGACAAAGAAATTTAAAAAGTGAAATAAAAGAGTATGTACTACTACTTGACTACAAGTGAATGACATTCCAAGAAGCCAGGAGAAGACAGAAAAATATCTTACTATGATAAGAGACATTAACTGTGAATCTAGAATTATGAAACCAGCAAAAATACATATATTAAAACAAAGACATAATAAAAGCCATTTTTCAGACAAAATCATAAATCCCGAAGGGATATTTCAATACAAAGAAAATGATACTAGAGAAAGTCTGTGATAAGAGAAAAACAGTTTGCAAAGACAAGAGGTTCTTTTGCTTGTTGCTGTTTTTGTTTTCCTTTTGTCTTGTTTGTTCGCTTATCTGTCTTTGAGAAGGTAAGGGGTAGGCACAGAAATGGTGGGACAAAGGGTGGTACTAACTAGACACTATGTTGAAAATGAACTACACAACTTGTGGGGGGAGATGGGAAGGAAAAACAGGGAGAGAGCGAGGGAAAGGGTGACACTGTCCAAAAAGAAAAGTACTCTTCACCTGACCAATGTATCTATAACCCTTCTGTACATCACCTTTGTAATAAGAATTTAAAAATTTATGAGGCTGGGAAGGTGGATTAGTGGCAGAGAGCTTGCCTAGCATGCATGAAGCCCTGAGTTTGATTCCTCAGTACCACATAAACAGAAAAAGCCAGAAGTGGCTTGTGGCTCAAGTGGTACAGCACTTGCCTTGAGCACAGAGAGGCTCAGGGAATGGAGCCCAGGCCCTGAGTTCAAGCCCCAGGACCAGCAAAAAATTAAAAATAAAAAAATTCATGAAGAAAAAAGTTTAAAATATCACTTAAAATCACAATAAAGGAAAGCAACAGCTATTAAAAATACTAATCATGATAATTTGAAAGAATTAAGAGTATTCTCAGCTCATTTCCAGAACCCTTGAGACAAAATCATAAATCCCAATACAAAGACAATGATGCTAGAGAAAGTCTGTGATATGAGAAAAACAGTTTGCAAAGACAAGAGGTTTGTTGTTTCTTGCTGTTTCTGTTTCTTTTCCTTTTGTCTTGTTTGTTCGCTTATCTGTCTTTGAGAAGGTATGGGGTAGGCACAGAAATGATGGCCTGCGAGAAAGAAGGCGTGATGTCCAACAATGTTCTTAGGCCAACAGGCTTCCAGTACCATCCCTTCACTCCACCATGGTGAAGAGATGAAGACTTCCTACAGGCTGCCTCAGAAAGTTGCTTACCAAGGGCTACGTGCCCTGGGAGAGAAGCCATTGCTTAAGACCTCAATCCCTCTCCATCTTCCTCATGTACATGTAGTATAGATGAAATAAAACAGTGGTAGAGTAACACAGAAATTATTAGAATCATTCTTACTTCAGTTTGATGATGAAGCCATAGATACACATGTACTATATAGTTATTACACACACACACACACATAAACTGTTCCTGGGAACAATCAATTGGTATTCATCTAAGACACAGCCAGTTTTTATTAAAACTAACTTTAATACATTCTGTGTTTGGAAATATTTTTTACTACCACTTGGAAACTTTTTCAGCTGTCTTTGCTGCATTGTTGATTTTCAGAGAAAATTAGAAAAATCTCTGAAGAAAGTTCTCTAAGGCTTGGAATATGTGCTCATTTCCACATCAAATTCAGTATCAATGATCACCCTAATTATATATTAGTTTTCCCAAATGTCAGGAGTTAAGTTATAAATAAGAATCAATCCATCTTCAAAACATCAAGGAGCAGGATGGAAATATTCAGAACAGAATTCTTAGTGAGGACACATACTCAAATTCATAGTTCCAGTTTTCTCATAACTTTTCATCAGCTACTATGAAAGATTTTACTTATAAATTATTTGTCCTAGCAATTATTTATTTCTACCCTTCTAATTTTATAGAAGTATGTATTACTAGAAACACAAAATAAAGTTCTTGTAAGACAAAAAGGATTACCTGATTTGGAACCCAGGGAAAATATTCCATTTTCATTTCCACTAAATATTGAATATTCAACACTGTCCTGCATTGAATCAGAAACAAAAGCCTCTACGGTCACAACAGAAGTACCTGTAAAATCAGATTTCAAAACATGAATGTTTTTAGAGAGAGAAAATTTCATAGAAAAGCAAGAGCAAATACAATCATTATTAGTACACTATATTTTCATTAAGTTATTCATTGAAATAGTTATTACCTTTGTAAGCCAGATCCCACACTAAGTGCTCACAGTAGGTACACACTGGGATGGCAATCAACCATTAACCAAATACCCAATCAAGGCAGAGTTCAAACTGTGCTAAGGTCTGAGAAACAGGTTGCATGATAGAAGGGTATTACACCTTTGTGTTTCTTTCTTTCTTTTTTCTTTTTTTGTTTTTTTTTTTTTTTTGGGGGGGGGTCGGTCATGGGATTTGACCTCTGGGCCTAGGTGCTGTCCCTCAGCTCTTCAGCTCAAGGTGAGCACTCTACCACAACACCACTTCTGGTTTTTTCTGCTTATCTGGTGCTGAGGAATTGAACCCAGGGACTCATGCATGCAAGGAAAGCACTCTACCACTGAGCTACCTTCCCAGCTGAACTTTGTGTTTCTAAGTGCAGCAATAGAGCACACTGGATATTGATGAAAATGAACTATACAACTCATGGGTGGAAATGGAGAGACAAGGGTATTATACAACCATAAAAGTATCCAGTAACCAGGAAGATACAACAATCAAAAATACCCGCACCTGCCAGCAAAGCACCCAAAAGAAGCAAACATTGACAACTAACTGATAGATCAACTGAACAGAAGATAACACAAAGAACAGATGACGTGAATGAATCTGTAGATCATTGTATGTAGACGACATGCATGGAGTACGTTGAATACGCTTTTCCTCAAGGACACACAGAACTTTCTCCAGGATAGCTCACATGCTAGGTCACAAAGCAAGTGCTAGTAAATTTAGCAAGACTGAAATCAGACCAAATATCTTTTCCAACCACAACAAAATGAAACTTGAAATCATTAGGAAAAGGAAAACTGGAAAATCCCCAAATATGTGAACAACCAATGCATCAACAAAGAAGTAAACAAGGAAATTAGAAAGAAACTATCTTGAGATGAAAACAAAAGGACCTCATCATGATTATTATGGGATGCAGCAAAGCAGTACAAAGGGGAAAGTTATACATGGAAAACTACACTAAAAATGAAATAGCCAGGCGCCAATGGGTCATGCCTAGCTACTCAGAAGGCTGAGATCTGAGGATTACAGTTCAAAGTCAGGCAGGGCAGGAAAGCCTGTGAAACTCCTATCTCCAATTAACCACCAAGAAGCTGTGGCTCCAGTGGTAGAATACCAGCCTTGAGCACAAAAGCTGAGGGAACAGCTCTGAGGCCATGAGTTCAAGCCCCAGACCTTTCTGGGGCTTTTTCTGGGGCCTTTTCTGCCCAGGGCTGGCTTCAAACCTTGATTCTCAGATCTCAACCTCCTGAGTAGCTATGCATGAGCCACCAGCACCTAGCTCAATAGAGTTTTGAAATATTAACCCTGATTACATTTACCAACAAAACATAATGGTTTGGAACAGAGGGTTAGGCAGAATCACCATAAGGACATCATAAAAAGGCTCCCAGGATGGAAGCCTGGAGTGAGACACAAGGCTTAGCCACAGTGAGGAATGTGTGAACCAGAAGTAGGTGGTGAGCACTGGAGGTGCAGACAGTCCATGAAGCATCGTGGAGCCCAGCCTGGCAGTGAATGCCGGGGAAGCTCTGCTCCAGGAAATAGGATGACCGGGTGGGGATAGTCAACACTTGACTCATCTCCTGGTCTTAATTGTTTAGGATTAGCAAGCAACTTTCTGATTACCACTTGGCTTCCTGCATCTTTTCTTTTTTTCTAGAAAAAGAAAACTGGTCATTTCAACAAGACTACTATAATCCACAGAAAAATCCTGCTTTAAAAAATAAACGTGAAGGCATCATGGTCCGTGCATACTTTCTAGCCTCCTTCATAAGGGCTTACAAGTACAGACATCTGGTCACCCTGGGGATGGAGTGCCCAGCTATTTTAATAAATGAGGTCTTTGTCTGAGGCTTACATGTATAACTGGGATGAATTCAAAGTTAAAACATGCCTCAGGTGATATGTACCTTCTGAGAAAAACCTGGCCTTGCCTCAGGTCTTCCATCTCCTGTGGAGCTACCTTTGAATCAGAAGACAGGTCATGAGATCCATATTATAAATGGCCCCCTAGACGGTACTCATTCCAATGAATGCCATTCCACCTATGAGATTGTCATGATAGGGGAAGGATGGACACTATTTGCTTTCTTCTTTTCCTCCTCATAAGAATTTATATGTGGGGCTGGGAAGGTGGCTCAGTGGTAGAGTGCTTGCCTTGCATGCATGAGGCCCTGGGTTCGATTCCTCAGCACCACATAAGCAAAAAAGAAAAAGCCGGAAGTGGCGCTGTGGCTCAAGTGGTAGAGCGCTAGCCTTGAGCTGAAGAGCTGAGGGACAGCACCCAGGCCCAGAGTTCAGGCCCCATGACCGGACCCAAAAACAAAAAACATAAAAAACAAAAAAAAAAAAGAATTTATATGTGGGGCCAGGTGCCAGTGGCTCAAGCCTGTAATCCTAACTACTCAGGATGCTGAGATCTGAGGATTGTGGTTCAAAGCCAGCTCACGCTGGAAAATGTGTGAGACTCTCTATCTCCAATAAACTACCAAAATGCCAGAAGTGGCATTCTGGCTCAAGTGGTAGAGAGTGCTAGCCTTGACCAAAAGAATCTCAAGGATAGAGCCCAGGTCCTGATTTCAAGCCCCATAACCAGCACAAAAAGAAAAAACAAAAAGAATTTATATGTTGAGCTGTATTTCAGAGCTAATGTCATCTATCTCCTTGGAAAATATAACACTTATCTGGTTTTGGAGAGAAAAATAAACTGGATGATAAGGCTTTACAACTGTTTTGTCATGGCCATATAACTGTTTTGAAATTACTACTTACTCTGCTGAGAATGTATAACCCAAGTAGGGATTTGAGATGGAGAAAAATAGCAATAATAGTAAATCCAGGTGATGAGTAAGAATTCTTTACAACTCAATTTAATTTTTACAGTACACCAGTGACAAGTTTCATGTGTGTGTGTGTGCACGTGTGTGTGCACACATTCAGTACTCAAGGCCTAGGCACTATTCCTTAGCTTTTTTACTCAAGGATGATGATGTTCTATCACTTGAGTGACAGCTCCACTTCCAGCAAATTAGAGATATGGACTGTTTGTCCAAGCTGGCTTTGAACTGTGATCTTCAGATCTCAATCTCCTAAGTAGCTGGGATTACAGGTAGAGCTGCCAGCAGCCAGGGACAGGCCATTCTTGTCTCCACTTTATGGGAAGAGGAGAACCTGCCTGTCCCTGTGCCATGCATGGAGCCACACAGAGCTCCCCCGAGCTGTACCAACCCCAGTCACAGTTCTGCACTCTAACATCTGGCCCTGCACATAGACAATAGCAGCCAGAAGTCACTGGATCAACTGCCAAAGGGTCAAAAGAAGGGTTCTTTTTTCCCCCCTCCAGAATACCAAGATCTCAGTAATTTACTTGACAATATTGTCTATTTGACTAGTTAGAGTGCCCCCATGTGTCATCGTGTTTTAATATTATTTCAACTTTTCCCAAGTTTGAGTGTTTACTTCAAGTCAGGGTATAAACATCATATATCATTTCAGTTTTTCCAGAATAATAAAATTCACAGAAATATATGCATTTGTGAACAGCCTATGCAGAGGAAACAATTGCTGGTTCATCAGAAGGGAAACAAGAGAGACCAAAGCTCGCTTCTAGAAGGTTTCTTTACACACTGTGGTAGGCTTGGACACTGTTGGCCACCAAGTGGCTTATCTTTAGCTTTGGTTTTATTTTGTTTTGGCTTAAATTCAGGGCTTAAGCATTGTCCCTGAGGGTTTTTCCCCCTCAAAGCAAGCACTCTACCACTGCTCCACTTCCAGATATTTGGTGGTTAATTGAAGGTTAAGTCTCACGAACGTTCCTGCCCCCACTGGCTTCTAACCACCATTCTCAGATCTCAGTTAGGATTACAACCATGAGCCACCAGTGCCTGGCTCTACCCTGAGCTTTTAACAGGACTCAGCAAGATGGTTGAAGCCTCTCTAACCTAGATTCAAATTTGGGGGTGAGGAGGAGCAAGGGGACAGGGCTGGGCAGCAGTAGGAACAGGATGGACAGGGAGCTCCATGGACCACTCTTCTGGTCATCCTGCTGGCTGACCAGTCTCTGCTTATGGTTGACTGAAACTTCTAGGTACAAACACTCATGAATAAGTGAGTAATTCATGCCTGCCTCTTACAGAGATTTTGTGTAGAGAGCTGCGAGAGGCCGCACCTGGAAGATGGCACCGGCTTCCGCGCTCCGCCTTCCCGATGGCGAGTGCTCTCTGTGGTAAACAACTCCTTATATGGCTAAGGCAAAGAATCTGGCTTGCTTCTGCGCACCTGAACCTATTGGTGGATCCCACGTGGCGTATCAGGGTTGGCTACCCAGCGGGTACTTAAGGCTGTGGGGAATTTTCCCCGGGGTTGGGGTCAGAAGATTACTAAAAGGTCCTGAATAAACTGCAGAGAGAAGAGCTCGGTGTCGCGTCTTCCTTGCTGGTCGAGGTGGGCGTGACAATTTTGCCTACTGAGACTTACTTTAAAATTGGAAACTGTAATTGACATTGTGATGGTTAATCTTGACCATCATCTTGACTAGGCTGAGAGAGGCCAGAAGGGATAAATAAAATGCATGTCTGGGTATATCTGTGAAGGTGTTTCAGAGATTCTTGAGGTGTGTGGGGGGAGAAAAACCCTAAATGTCAATGCCACCATTTCAAAGGAAAAAGCTCAAGAGAGTAGAGAGTAAGGGATGGGATGGGAGGAGGGAAGACAGGCTGGGCATGGGCATTTCCTCTCTAGTCCCTGGCCACCACGAGGCAAGCAGCCTTTACCACATGCACCTTCCACTCAGAAGTTTCCCACTGAATCTTCAAAAGCATTCTATCTATAGTACTGAACATTAAAAAAAATCAAAACAGACACAGTCTACAAACGACTTGAGGGGACACTCACCTGCCTCACAATTTTCCATCACAAATCCTTTATACACATGCTGGCTGAAGGAAACCTTTACAGCTTCTCCTTCCGTGTGAATGACCACAAGGCCGGTGGTTGCCCTGGCTGGGACCCCATGATCAGTGACTCTTAACTGTAACCAGAGAGGAAAATATTCTGAAGATGGATTTTGCCAAAGTGTAATTTCTCCTGTGTACGCGTCAATAGAAACCACTGACTGAGCATCAGCAAAACTAAAAGAGACAGTTCCATTGGGTCCCATGTCTGGATCATGGGCTCTCAAAAAAGCAATCGTTTGATTTGTTGGCCACTGGGGTGAAAGGAAGATATCAAAAGGGTTCTGTTCCAAAATGGGGTCATTGTCATTAGCATCAGTGACAGCTATGTTTACGGTTACTGTGGTGCTTCTTGAGCCCTGGATGCTACAGTCTCTGGCCACGGCTCGAAATGTATACTGAGATGTGGTTTCCCGGTCCAGAGTGAGGGTGGTTCTCAGAATGCCTGCTGCAGAATCAATGGTGAATGCACTGGAAGACTCGTCCATCAGAAAGTACTCTGTTTGCCCATTCCGGCCCAGGTCCCTATCCTTGGCTGACAGGACCAGAACCACAGTCCCTACTTGAGCATCTTCTCTCACGGAAGACTGGTAATACAGCAGAGGAAAGGAGGGGCTGTTGTCATTGTCATCCAAAACCCTGACTTGCAACTGCAGCACAGAGCTCCGAGGTGGATGCCCCAAGTCAGAGCAGAGGATGAGTAGCGTGAAATTGCTGACTTGCTCCCTGTCCAAGGCATGTGTGGTCGACAGTTCCCCTGACATTTCATGAATAGCGAAGGAGTCATTGGTGTTCCCATCTGTTACAGAAAGCAATGAAAAATGTATTTGAATTGCAAAGGTGGTATCTGTTTGCTAACATTATTTATACAAATATGTTTATGAATATATATTCTTTAAAAAATATTTCTTTCCTAAACCAGCCACAATGGCTCACTAGTTATTACAGAAGGCTGAGATCTAAAGGAGCAAAGATTGAGGCTGGCCCCCTCACAACAGATTAGCAAGACCCACTGTTATTGAATAAAAGGTGGGGAGTAGATGGGAGAGAATGCTGAAAGAAGTAACACTAATCAAAACATATTTTACTCACAAACTGACATGTTGAATTGAAACCCCTTAGGACTAAACGATAATAATAAATAAATAATAAATAAAAAGCTGGGCGTAGTAGTGGGCATCTTCATCTTAGCTACGCACAAGTGTAAACAGGAGAGCTGCAGTTCAGGTTGGCCTTATGCAAAAAATAGCTAAAGCAAAAAGGCCTGGAAGCATAGCTCGAGTGGTAGACCACCTGTTTGGCAAGCCTAAGATCCTGAATTCAAACCCAAGTACTGCTAAAAATTTATTTCCTGATTACTTTTATCTGCCAAGGGCCGTTTAAATATTAATGACATCACTCTTCATCCATACGAAATTATCAAAATAGGCAGACAATGAGAATACTTGGGTCTGTCCTGCCAAATGATTTTGAGGGTCTTATATGGTTCCCTACAAGGATAAAGGAATGAAACATTATTTTAAGGAATTAAAAACAAGATACAGTCAAGCACTGTAATACAGCTCACACCTATAATCTTAGCAAGTCAGGAGGCTGAGATCTGAGGATCACAGTTTGAAGCAAGCCTAGACAGGAAAGGCTATCACACTAGAACTGTGTCTCAAGTCATAGCCTTGAGGGCTCTCCTCCTCCTTCTTGTTTTTATTTTATTTTATTTTTGCAGGGCTAGGCAAGGACTCGCCACTAAGCTCTATAGCGTGCCCAGTCTTTTTGTTTTTATTTTATTTTTGAGGCAAGGTCTCATCACTACCTTTGCCCAGGCTGACCTAGACACTCAATCCTCCTGCTTCTACCTTCTAGGATTACAGGCCCAGCTTTAGGCTGGGCGCTGGTGGCTCATGCCTGCAATCCTAGCTACTCAGAAGGCTGATCCCTGCAGATCCCCCAGGCTGAAAAGTCCAGATGACTCTCATCTCCAATTAACTGCCAGAAAACTGGAAGTGGAGTTGTGGCTCGAAGTCGTAGAGTGCTAGTCTTGAGCAAAAGAGCTCAGGGATAGTGCCTAGGCCTTGAGTTCAAGACCCATGACCAACAAACAAACAAATAAACAAACATGGAGGGCAGTGGTTCAGAATGTCTGAATTCGGCAGAGGTAGTGAGGATGCCCATAGTGCCATCAGCTCTTACTGCATGTGCGTTTCATAGGAAAATAAAACAGATATCCAATATAGAAGAATGACCATATACCATATATCAACCCAGTGTGCATCCTAGAGGGAATTTTAATTTAAAGATACTTACGTATTATGTGATATCTGACAGTTCCATTATTGCCAGCATCCTGATCAGAGGCCCAAACAGTATAGACAGTCTCTGGCTCTCGATTCTCTAGAACCTCGATGTCATGGCCAGGGACAATAAATTCCGGGGTGTGGTCATTTTCATCTTCAACAGTGCAAAGAATTGTTGTGGTGCTAGACAGTTCAGGGGCTCCCCTATCCCGCACAAGCACTGGCATGGGACACAAAGAAGACAGATGGGTTGTGGCCATTAACTCACCTGGAAACTATGTCATGTTAACTAAACAGCATCAGATTAAACTAATGGAGTGGCTTGGATCAATAACAGCTCATTTAAAGACACCCTACTGAAATGTAAAATTTACATTGCTGATCTTCCTAATCTTTAGCACATGGAGGGTTGGGGGGGGAGGGGGAGAGGAGGGGAAATAGGGAAAGAGGTTAGGGTGAGAACAGGAGTAGGGGTAGGAATCCCTTACCTAGAAGGGTAAAAACTTGCTGAATTTCTCTGTCCAGTATGGTGGCTGTCACCACCTCTCCACTGTCAGGATTGATCTTGAAAAGCCCAGAAGAAGCACCTGGCATGATTTCAAACTGAAGTTGGGAGTTGATTCCTTTAAAAAAAAAAAAAAAAAAAAAAAAAAAGAGCAGGGGAAGAGAAATTCACAACCATCCCTTCGGATAATGTGACCAATTTCTTACTCATTTCCCCTTGAACATGTTCCTTTTCCATAGATGAGAGAGGCAGGATCCCTAATCAGCCTTCAAATCAAGGTAACAGAAACATCTCATTGGCCGTGCTTGCAAAATAAAGACCTCTAAGCTGCACTGAGTGATTTTTCAAAAGTCTTCTGAGGCCTCCCCACAGTGAATGCTTGGGATTTTTTCCTTCCCATAATTTTTTCTTACGAGTGTGCAACCCTACAACATATTCCTAATTACTCCTAACACCCCTGATTGCGATTTAATGACATAATTGTAAGCTTGGGGGACACATGACAGTGTCTGTAGATTGACCTACTATTTAGAAGGTTGTACTCAGCTAAAGGATTCTGTTTATGCCCTGCCCCTGTAGGCAAACCCACAGAGACGCTTACGCAGTGATTCTTGCTTTTTCTTTTTTCTTTTTAACTTTGTAGTGAGTCTCTTATCTAGAGTGAGAAATGACTTCACATTTTGAAAACAATTCTTCCCATAATTCTCCCCATATTTTTGTGGTTTCAACCAGTGACTCGCTTCTTCCTCCTCACACCCTTGTAACCCTCCAGGAAAAAAAAAAAAAGGAAAGAAAAGAAAAAAAAAACCATGACATCCTCATACTTGAGAACTAGGAAAGTAAAAAATGAATTAGATTTAGTCTAATTCCATCAGTTGGCTAAGCCAAATGGAAACCTGGATGAAGACATTTTGTGATATCCTGAGGATATATTCTGCTGAAGAATGTGAGTGTTCCAATACATGTGCTTGTGTGTGTACATATACCCATATACCTGCTCCTAGATCGACCACTTGCACCCTCCGACTTCTTCTTGATGCCCTTCAGAGCCCTTTTCCTCCATTTTTTTCTTTCCTATCCAGTTCAGGCCCATGAGCTTTCGCTTCAGCAACCTTGCTTCTTTACTTAGGTCCTGTGGCTTTTTGCCAAACATGGATGTCCAGCAAAGACTCAGCTCAGAGAAACTTCACAACTATCCCTTTGGATATTGAGACCAATTTCTTACATCTCTCTGTTCTCCTTAATTGTCCAACAGATCTTGAGACTGAAAAATGTCACAACAAAACAGATGGAGACCACTGAAATGTCACTGTCATCTGGCAACTTTTCCCTGTCCATTCAAGTCACTCACAAGTCACTTCCTTTGTACTTCAAAGACATGGGGCATTGGGAAAGAACTCTTATAGCCTTCTCCATCGGTCATTAACTCCGTCTCTGTTGTGCCATCTCTAATACAAAAATAATTCTTTAACGACTCTCTCTTGAAATTTTCCTGTGAATTCCATCAATCTCTATCCTAAAATTTTTTCAATTCAATTATATTTTTCTCTAGCTGTAATGACTAATGGTTTTCCCCCTTCTCTTTTTGGCTCAAATCATAGAAACCTAGCACACTCCAAAGATTTATCTAATAGGACAGCTCATTTATCCTCTACTTGGTGACCTCATGAAACTTGGAAGTAACGAGTTAGATATCTTAGACATGTATGTCAGACCAGAGAATGGCGAACTATAGATCACTGGCCAGATCTGACCCCTTCCTTGTTCATGTAAAGGTTTTGAAACACAGTCACTTTCTCATGGCTGTAGTCTTGCTGCAATGTTAGAGTTCAGTAAGAGAGACTAGACAAAGACCGAAAGAACCTAAATACTTTCCCAGGAAATAAAAGCTTACTAAAAAAGTCTGTCCTAGAGAAAGGAACAGGAATTAAAGAAGGAGGTAAACTGGACTCACTTCATAAAACACCTACCTAGTAAGCTAATAAAAAGACAAGACTAGCTGGGTGCCGATGGCTACACCTGTAATCCTAGCTACTCAGGAGGCTGAGATCTGAGGATCAAAGCTCAAAGCCAGCCCAGACAGAAAAGTTTGTGAGACTGAACTCCACAAAAATCTCCAAAAAAAACCCCAAAAAACAACAAAAAAAAACTGTAAGTGGAGCTATGGCTCAAGTGGTAGAACCCTAGCCTTCAGCATAAAAAGCTCAGGGATAGCATCTAGGCCCTGAGTTCAAGCCCCAGAACTGACATTTAAAAAAAAAAAAAAGACAAAACTTTGCTCCCCCCACCTTTTATAAAACACAATAGAGAATTACTAAAGAATTCTAATTCTAACTAGGGGAGAAGGCTCTTTCCAGATTAAAGTTTGGAAAGAACATCTTATTAGATAAAGAATTCATCAACTACAAAATGCCTGTACCCTTAGGCAATCTAAAACAAAAAGGATTGTGCATGGGTGTTGGAAGGAATGCACACATGATGGAATTTGAAATGAAGCAAGTCCCGTCTTTGCTTTGCTCTCCCAGATCCTTTGGTCCAAAGTATCTATTGAGCTCTGATATCAAATCTTGCATTATCTTAAGGATCTGTGATAAAAGTAGATAAAATGTCCTGAATCCAGGAGTTTATAATCTAGAGAGGAGACAGACTAATAAACAAATACATGGTAATAATACAATGGATTCAATGCAGTAAGGGTATAGACAACAGGGAATGTCGTCTGAGTGAGTGAAGTCGTGATTGGTCTTTCTTCTTTTTTTTCTTTTAGTATTTCTGTAAATAACTTATAGGAGAAATTTACATAAAGATGGTCAATCAAATCTCAGGGACAGGTAAGCAGGACAGTACTAAGGGTTGGCTGAAGAAGTCTCTCTTGAAGAGTGAACAGAATGGTACTTCTTCTGTTTTGCCCATGCAGATAAAGCCATGAGACTCAAAAGCCAAAGTGCAAAGTCCACTTATCTAAGACACTTGTTCCCCATATTTTGCACTTCTGAAATTAGATGCTTCTTATATTTTAAACTTAATTAATTTAACTGGCTGCAAGTATAGGTTTAGAGGGTTCCAGGGTACATCCAGCACAGAGACAGATTTTCTAGATTTTCAGATGTAGTTCATTCAGGTAGGGGAATACATTTCTAGGAGACAAGAATCACATTCTGTATTTCTAAATGACAATATATTGGTAAGATATTTTGTAAACACCAGTGTGGAGCAAACATTTCAGCCCAATGACTCACTGGGTACCCCTCCTGCCAGGGAGCCAGGGAGAGATGTTTCAGGAATAGATCTTTGCTCACTCACAATGGAGCTTTTGTTGGGGGACACTGAATGCTGGGGCAGTTTTAATACCCCAGTTAAAATCTGGTAGTTCACTCCCCCTTTAATACAAGAAGAAACTTCTGCGAGAATTAGTGTGACTCATACATCATAAACATTTGTGCTCACATCCCCATGGGCTTTGAATGCCAAACACTCCACGCCTACATTAAAAAAAAAACTGCATTGTAGAATGTTAGAAAACATATGTGGAGCTCTCTGTTCTTGAGTAATGCTGTAGTATTTTTTAAAATACATACTATAAAGTAAACCATTCATAAATTCCAACAAGATGCCAATTATGTTAAAATCTTGACTACGTCACCTAATTCGCATGCATAATCCTATTTCATTGTTTTAACCTACTAAGGAAAAACAAGGAGACTGCAGGAAAACATATTCAATAGCACATGTATTTATATAACCACCTGCTTAACAGATCTGGCCTCACTGAAAACATTGAAATTTCCAGTAAACCCAAACCATGTAGAAAGCTGGTAGGAGTGCATGAGACTCAAGATGTCGAGGTATACTGCAGAGATCCACTGAAGCAAAGGGGTACAAACAACAATGTTGCATCTTAATTTAGAGTTGTGACCATCATCTCTATTATGCCTTCAATCCAGTTATAATGAACAGGTTGCAGACAGCCCATTCCAAAACAAAATGGCATTCAGGCTAGGCATCTTGACCATAAAAACTCAGAAGAGTGTATTTATAGTAATCATCTTTAGTTAATACATGCAAACATTTGAGAGCAATTCTTAAAAGAAATGATGCGAGTGGATTCCATTGTACAAATAAAAAGTAAAATCGATAAAGTTGTCCCTGGCAACAGGCACTGTTACATAATTGTTAAAGTGCACGGCGTCGGAAATGTTCGTTATGTACAGCCCAACAGAGCACATCCAAATAGAACTTTACTGCACGGGAAACATAAAGTTTATATATGTTCTCCATTGTTTCCAATGCTCTGACAACGAATAGTGGCAGAAATGTGCTAAACAAATTCTCTAAGCACAGATTGGGGGTGGGGGGGGCGAGGGGTGGAGGAGAAGGAACATGGTTAGCTCACTCCAGCCCCCTGTCTTTCTTTGGGAAAGGAAGATAAACTCTTTGATCATACTGCCCCTCTCTGGCCAAAAGAGGAAAAGCTAGGCTATCTCTCATGCAATTTCCTGTCAAACGCATTTTATTAAAATGATGCTCTTTATCAGAAAGGTAAGGCTGGCAAACATCATAAAATTTAGTATGGATTGAAATCTGTTATTTTTTTGATAAACAATCTAAGGAGGATGGTGCTATTATTGCTATAAAACATATGTTACAATTTTTAAAAGAACAAAATAATATTCTAAAATATAATGTTGCTTACTATAGGAAAAAGTAAATTTAAAAGTCACTGGCTTATTAAACTATATTAGTTCTGATGGAAAAACTCAGAATATGATGTTAATAGAAAACACTGCACTATAATTTTTACCATTATTTGGCTTAAAATAAAACAGAATATTGTTAATATTACTGAAACTTAAATGCCAGAAGAGATTTGAAGACATCAAAGAGCAAGTCTATGAAATTTATAAAATTCTATCCAGGGTAATTGTTCACTCCAACATTGTTATCTGTATTCAGAGTTGATAGAAATTATAACAGTTGCAACAGTCATGAAGGAAGTTGATCTGAGCTCTGTAAATGTAATAATTCATTCATTCTCATAATAGGATGCCAAATTAAACACTATTGTCATCTACATTTCACATCTATCAGAGGAACACAGAAAATTACTAGTCTGTTCAAGGATACACAGCTTGAGTAAGAGTTCTAGGATTCTAGCTAATAATAAAATCACCAGTGCTAAATAAAAGCATGCATTTTTATGTGTTTGGGCATGTATGCAAAATACTGGAAACCTGGATAAGTAGCAACTGTTTGTGGGGGTTTATTTCCCCTCAGTTTCCCCATCTCTTAATTACCTGAATCTCTGTCCTCAGCTTCAACCCTTGTGACAAACGCTCCTGGACTTTGATTTTCTTTAACAGAAGCTTCATACAGCGGCTGCGTGAACAGCGGGGCCTGGTCATTCACGTCAAGAACAGTCACAGTCACCATCTGAGAGGAGGACAGCGCCGGTGTGCCACCATCCCGGGCCACGATGGTCAGGATATACTGAGTTCTGATTTCATAATCCAAAGGACAAGCTGTAGTCAGTAGGCCTGTTTTGAGAAACAAGAGATCCATATGTTATAAATACCATTAGATTAGTTGGGTCTGTTCTAATCTACGTCTAACTTACTTGAACTTGTTCAAAACGCAGAACTCTTTCTTTTGTCAAAGAATGAATCATAAAATAAGAATGATGTGCTGAATTAAATTTAAATTCCTACGTCTATAGTAAAGAAGGAATACTCTCAGTCAGGTGCCAGGGACTCAAGCCCACAATCCTAGTGACTCAGGAGACTGAGATCTGAGAACTAAGGTGTGAAAACAATCCAGGAAGACAAACCCGAGAGACTCTTACACTCAATTAGCAAAAAAAAAAAAACCCTAAGAATAGGGGGAGTGGCTCAGGTGGTAGAGCACCAGCCAGGAGTGAAAAAGCCAAGCTAGAACACAGGTCCTGAGCTCAATTCCTAGGTATATAGTATGGGCACAAAGAATGTTAACAATTTTAGTTAAAAAAAAACAGTTTAAAATATAAATCAAATTGTCCTATACTACTGCCTAATGAGAACACTCCATTGAAACAATCACCTAACATTTTCCTCACTTTAAAAGACAGCTATACTAAATATGCACACACATGTGTTTATATATACATAAATATACTCTGTATACAGGTCACATGACATATTTTGAAATAACTAAGTGATAAAAATTAGAGTATAATGATAGTAATTTAGTTTTTGTTTTCCTTTTGTTGATAACAGTTTGAATTCAGTCTTGCACCCAGCTTGCTTGCTCAACTGATGCTCTACCACTTGAGTAGTCATGCCTCCAGTCTAGCTTTATACTAGTTATTGGGGATGGGATCTCACAGACTTTTCAAGCTGGGCTGGCGTGGAACTACAATTTTCTGTGTCTCAGATTCTTGAGTAGCTGGGATTGCAAGTGTAAGCCACCAGTGCCAAACAGTTGATTTTTGCTAAACAATTCTTCTTATTTTTGCTACAAAGTTCTTATTTCTTCTCTTTACTCTGAGCAAACTGCCTTTTGCTTTATTAACAATAAAAAGTAGGAATGTTATAATGTAGAAAATAAAATTCATACATAAACCAAGGTCTGTCCTGCTGCCATTGAGGTACCTAAAGCCACATAAATGCTGTGCCACACAGCTGTGACATGATTCCAAAATCTTGTTTTTCTTTTGGGATTGATTGCTTCTCTCCTCCTCGAAGAACTTGCCCTCAAATAATTAAAGAGCTTTATTAAATCAGATTTTACGAAACAGTTTTTCAATAATTAACCACCCCTTTATCCATCACAGCCATTAGCTGATGGAAAATTCAGTATGTCTTTTTTATAAGAACAAGAGACTTTTACGGGGGGAAGTGAATCTGTCTCATGTGAATGCTGTTAGTGATGGTCATTTTATGCCTTTGGAAAAAATACCTCAACCACAGCTACTGTGATTGCTCAAGATTCATGTACCTACATTACTGAGGCACAATTCTAATTTTATTCATTGTCATTAGCAATCCCAACTAAATCTTCCTTAGCCACCTCAGAAAACACTGGGAGGCTTGCTGAATGGGCCCTTGGAGAACTGTGGTTCTTATGGAAGGCAGCAACTGGGTCTGGACTGTCTCTCTGTCAGTGGGGTGCTGTGGTAGCCATGCTCGCCTCAGAGTGGAACCATATGGACAGGACTTAATGAATATTTTGATGAAATTTTCCAACAGAATAGAGCCAGGCCATAATCATGGCTTCTAAATCCTCCACACTCAGTTCCATTCCAAATAATGCTCTTATTAACAACTGAGTCAAGCGGTAGACATTTGAGAATTTTTTTCCAAAGGCTCACATCAGGATGACTTTACTTTTCAGAAAACAAGACTGAGGTTCATTAAATTTTCAATATCCTCTGGCAATCAAGTGGAGAATGGTCATTGCCAAATTCACAAGACTCATATTTTGAACGTATTCTTTCCTCAAGTCACATAAAAACTTCTCGCATAGATTATCTGGAAAACCTGGTGAGAGCCAGACAACTGAAGTGATCAGGAATGACAACTCTGCATTCAATTCCCAGAAAAAAAAAGAGAGAGAAGAGAAGAAAAGAAAGAAAAGAAAAGAAAGAAGTGCTTCTGCAAAAAGCATAATGTCACAGCTGGTGTGAAAGCAAGGTCCTTAATGACCAAATGAATGTAACCATTAAAATACGTGACTCCCAGGCCCAGAGTTCAAGCCCCACGACCGACAAATAAATAAATAATAAAATAAATATGTGACTTACTTTCAACTACAAACAATATTTGTTTGCTTAATGTAGAGATTCTGTCTCAAAAGGCCCCCTTAAATAATGCTGTGGCTGTGTCATGGTCCTACCTTGACTTAGCTTTGCCACCGTGGCCAACTGCAAGGACCCAGATAGAGGCAAAGAAGCTAGCTACTCTATATCCAGCCCATGAGACAGGACAGCAAGCCAACTGTATTTGCTTTCCAAAGACACTCTTTTTACATATACCTAGTATATATCATAAGTTAAAAGATATGATATATCATATATACAAACGTGATATATTATACATATATGCACACATATATGTTAAGCAGCATAACAAGACAAAATTTTTTACATCAAAGTACATATACATCCTAAGAACTAGCATTTTTAAGAGAAGAAAATAAAAAGGAAAACTGTAAGCAAGTACTGACTACAAGTGACAGAAAAAGAAAAAAAACACACCCAAATCAGAAAAAATAAAATTATCCCAGTTTGAAGAACACATAAATGTGTGGGCATGTGGGGGAGGAGGGGAGGGCTTGAACTCAGGGCCTGGGCTTTTTTTGCTCAAGGTTAGCCATAGCTCCATTTCTGGCTTTTTTTAGTGGTTAATTGGAGGTAAGAGTCTCACAGATTTTCTTGTCTAGGCCGGGTTTGAACCACAGTCCTCAGATCTTAGCTTCCTGAATAGCTAGGATTACAGGCACGAGCCAACAGTACCCAGCTATATTATTATGACAGATAAATTTGATAAATTTACAAAACATAACATGAACATAAGTGAAGCAGTTGCATTTCTATAATATAATATGAAGTTGTCTGAAAAGGAAATTAGGAAGACAACCTCACAGGACAAGCACAAGGAATAAAACATTTAGGAAAAAATTAACTAAGGTAGTAAGCAATGCATACACTGAAATTCATGTAACTTTGATGCAAGGAGTTGAACGAGAGAAAAATGGGAAGATATCTCATGTTCACTCTACAATGCAATCCCTACAAAAGTTGCAGTAGCATTTTTATTCACAGAAGCAGGACAAAAATTAGAATTGATACAGAATCTTAAATGACCTGCAGTAGCCAAAATAATCTTGAGAAAAGAAAAAGTACAACTTGAAACATCATCCTTCCTGACTTCAAAACATACCACCGAGTTACCACAATGAAAGCAGTGTGGTACTGGCCTGAAGCTAAGTCATATAAATCAAGAGAACAAAGTAGACACACCACCTGGCGAGGAAAAATAAAGGGAAGGAATAATCTCTTCAACAGATAGAAGAGGAAAACTAGTTATCTCCATGAAAAAATTAAATTGGCCCATTATTTCATACCATACATACAAATAAACTCAAAATAGATTGAGGATTTCAATGCAAGACATGGAACTCTTACAATTCCTAGAAGAAAAGAGGAGAAAGCTTCATGATATCAATCTTTGCATGAACACACAACAATAAAAGACTAGACCACAGAAATATAAATAAGCAAGTAGATTTCAGCCACCTAAAGGGTTTGTTTGTTTTAACGGCAATGACAAAGGCCACCCTATATTCCAGAGGGGAAAATATCTGAAGGGTTAAGAGCCAGCACATATAAAGAACTCTTGCAACTAAACAAGAAAAAAAGAACTGTTTTGCAAATGAACAGAGGACTTGAATGAAATATCCAACTGGCCAAAAGGTACATGGAAAAAATGCTTAGTGTCACCAATCCACATGGAAATGCATGTCAGAACCACCATGAGGCAGGGCGACTGTGAGGATGGCTATTATTGAAAACCAGAATAGGAGAGCTGGCAAGGAAGTGGAGAAATTGAAACCCTTGCCCACTGTCGCTGGCAATGGAAAATAGTTCATCTGGAAAAAGTTTATTATTGAGATTCCTGAAGAAGAAAAAAATATATATACAGTCAAGTGCGGGTGGCTCAGGCCTGCAGTCCTAGCTTCTAAGGAAGCTGGGATCTGAGGATCAGGGTTTGAAGCCAGCCTGGGCAAGAAAGTCCCTGAAACTCATCTCCAATTAACCGCCAGGAAACTGGAAGGGGCGCTGTGCCTCAAAGTGGTGGGGCGCTCGCCTTGAGCTTTTAAAAAGCCCAGGGACGGCGCCCAGGCCCTGAGTTCAAGCCCCACACTGACCCAAAGAGAAGCTTTGTACAGGAGATTCTGTAACATGTGACCACACGGATGGATATCTTGAGACCACTGTGCCACAGAGAAAAAACCAGGCACAGAACCTGTACCACACCGTTCCACTGTAACAAGAAACATCCTGCACCCAGGATGGAAGGAAGGTGTCAGGGGCTGGACAGAGGAGGGAAGGGACATGGGATGTCAGGGAAGCAGCAGGAACCAGATCTCGGGATGTGCCACGTTGCACCTCGAATCAAGAATAATGCATTGTGCAAAAAGAAGAAAAGCCAGTACAAGGGTAGTCTGAGGTTACAAGCCATGGTGGTGAAGTATACTGAAGGGAGCTTGCATCCGGGCATCCGGGCATCCAGGCATCCGGGTATCCCTACCTGAGGCTGCGTCCAGCGCGAAGGCCCCGCCGTCGTCTCCCGGGAGGATGCTGTAGGTGACGCTGCCGTTCCTGCCCTGGTCTGGATCGTGGGCTCGGACGTGGTGCACCGCGGAGCCCACGGCCGCGTCTTCTCGGACCCAGGCCACGGGCGGAGACACGAAGGCGGGGCTGTGGTCGTTCACGTCGAGGATCACCACGTGCGCCACGAGGGAGCGCAGGCGCCGGTCCGTCAGGTTGGCGGCCTGGTCGGAGGCCGTGACGGTGAGGGGCACGCGCGGGACGCGCTCTCGGTCCAGCGGCGCGGCGGTGAGCAGCGAGCCGCGGGCCGGGTGGATGAGGAACGGGCTGGGCCCCGCCTGGTGGGGCTCCATGGAGTACTGCACGCGGCTGTTCAGGAAGCTGCCGTCCCCGTCCTTGGCGGTGAAGTTGTACACCAGCGTGCCTTCCGGAACGTTCTCTTCCACCCCGAGCACCACGACCTCCTCGGGGAAGGCCGGGGCGTGGTCGTTCCGGTCGTCCACGGCGATGCTGAGGAAGACGCTGGCGTGGCGGGGCGGGTGCGCACGGGCGTCGCGGGCGGCCACCCGCAGCAGGTAGTGGGGCGTCCGCTCGTAGTCCAGCCCCCGCGCCAGGAACAGGTCCCCCGTGGCGCCGTCCAGCGCGAAGGGCCCGGCGCCGGCCTCGGCCAGGCTGAAGCGCCACGCGCCGCCCGCCGGGCGCCCCGCGGGGGCCGGGGCCGGGGCCGGGGCCGGGGCCGGGGCCGGGGCAGGCCGCAGGCTCAGGAGCTTCGTAGGCCTCAAGTCTTCTGCCAGGACGAGATGTCTGACCATCTGAGAGGCGAAACCTCCTCCGCCTTTGGGTAAAGGTAACACCTGAAGACGAGGAAAGACGAGGGAGGGAGGGAGGGAGGAGGAGGGAGGGAAGGAAGGAAGGAAGGAAGAAAGGAAGGAAGGAAGGAAGGAAGGAAAGAAGGGAGGGAGGAAGGAAGGAAGGAAAGAAGGGAGGGAGGGAGGGAGGGAGGGAGAGAGGGAGGAGAAGAAAGAAGAAAGAAAGAAGAACAAGAAGGAAGAAGGAGAAGAAGAAGAAGGAGGAGGAGGAGGAGGAGGGAGAAGAAGAGGAGGAGGAGGAGGAGGAGGAGGAAGATTTCAAAAGTTGTTCATTGGAGATATTTGGAGCTATTAACTACATGTTGAAAGGTTATGTTACATACTGACACATAACGGTATGTTAGAGCCTAACTCCTTTCTTCGTGTGACATACGTGTTAATTGGTGAGAAAAACATCACTTTCTTTGTTATTTTGGGGGCGGGACTGAGGTTGGAACTCGGGGCCTTGTACTTGCTCCACGGATATTCTACCACTTGAGCCGTGCTGCCCTGAACTACATAGGTTTTTGTTTTTATTTTATTTTTTGCCATTTTTCAAGTAGGGTCTTTCCTTTACATGTGGGCTAGGGTGAACCTATACTCCCCTCCTCCTAAACTCCTCTCAAAACTGGGATGACAGAGTATACTAAGGTACCCCCTACGTTTGATTGTTCCAGAAAGTCAGGTGAACTTCTTTTGTCCAGACTGGCCTCCACCCTATGTAATGCTCCCAACTGCTGCCCCCTGGGTAGCTAGGATTACAGGTGTGAGACACTGCCCAGTGAGAAAGTATCCTTTTATGATTCCAATATGTCTCAGAAAATTGAAAATCCAATAATATTTAAGCATCAAGGAACCATAGGATTGTTTGCTGAAAGCTGTGCACAGTCATCTTTAGTCTGTTAGAGTATATTTTCCTGCTACAAAAACTTGCTAAAAATTGTGTGCTTGTTATGATTAATGTAGAGCCTTCAAAGCCTTCTACAACGGTTCTAAGCTTTAAAAAAAAAAAAAGTGTTCTGAGTGAGGCGCTGGTGGCTCACGCCTACAACCCTAGCTACTCAGGAGGCTGAAATCCTGAGGATCAAGGTTCAAAGCTAGCTTGGACAGGAAAGTTTGTGAGACTCATATTCCCAATTAACCACCAAAAGAAGATGGAAATGGCACTGTGGCTCAAGTGGTATAGTAGCCTTGAGGGGAAAAAAAAAAAAAAAAGCTCAGGGACAGTGCCTAGGCCTTGCATTCAAACCCTATGTCTGGCACAGAAGGGAAAAAAAGCCAAAAGTAATGTGTCTTACTACTACTTATTTACAGACACATTTCTCCTGTAAATTTACCAGGCCTTTGAAATTAGGAATAAGTGAAAAAAGTCACCTTTTGTTTAATATAAATGCCCATGTAGTAGTGAATATCTTGTCAAATCCATACCAAACTAATGCAGAAATGTGTTCAGATACAAATCATTTGCTAGTGACGGACAAGGAGATAAATGTGCACTGAGCAAACTGTCTTAAAACAGCATTTGCACACAACCTATCTCTCTCTGATCTCTACACTTGTTTATGAACAGTCATCCACATTTTCTGGTGACATTACCTGGATATTAACAACTGCTTGTCCTTGAAGCGGGGGCACTCCCTGGTCGCTGGCGATGATGGTTATCCTGTAGGAAGGTCTATAGTCACGTGACAGGACTGTGCTTGTTCTTATTTCACCATTGTTGCTATCAATCTTAAAGTGATCAGAATGATCTTCTGCATACATACACACACACACAAAGTGAGATACTAATGTAAATTGGCAGAAAACAAAAGAGCAATTAACCTAATATGTCTATGATTAACTGGGATAATATTTGCTTTAAGTTCCATAACATAGTCTGAAGTATGGAACTTAAGGCAAACAATTCTGTAGTTTCTTGATGCTTGAGGACCTTACACAGTATATACATGATAGAAAGAGTATCTGGTTCCTTAGTACTATGTACAGTTTTTATGTATCCAATAAAAAATAAGATTTAATTTTGAGCCAGGCGCTGGTGGCTCACGCCTGTAATCCTAGCTACTCAAGAGGCTGAGATCTGAGGATCGCGGTTCAAAGCCAGCCTGGGCAGGAGAGACCGTGAGACTCCTATCTCCAATAAACCACCAGAAAACCAGAAGTGGTGCTGTAGCTCAAGTGGTAGAGCGCTTGCCTTGAGCTGAAGAGCTGAGGGACAGCGCCCAGGCCCAGAGTTCAAGCCCCAGGACTGACCGAAAAAAAAAAAAAAAAAAAGATTTAATTTTGAATTCCATTAAACATATAGACAAGATACATAACAGATTTTTAAATTTCCTATTTAAAAAATAGTAGGTAGAGCCAGGCTCAGGTGGCTCACGCCACTAGTAATCCTACTTACTCAAGTGGCTAAGATTGGGAAGATTGAAGTTTGAAGGGTTTATTTTTGCTTACATTTGTTATTGTTGTTTTGTGTGCCAGTCCTGGGGCTTGAATTTAGGGCCTGGGCACTGTCCCTGATCGATTTTGCTCAAGGCTAGCACTCTACCACTTGACCCATACTTCCACTTCCAATCTTTTGGTAGTTAATTGGAGATAAGAGTTTCAGGGACTTTGCTGCCCAAGCTGGCTTCAAACCCATACATCAGATCTGAGCTTCCTGAAAAGCTAGGATTATAGGCATGAGCCACCAGCACCTGGCTTATGTTTTGTTTTAATCTGATGTTGTTTTCTAAGTTAGTGAGAGAATGCTGGGTAATTGAAAGAGAATGAATTTTCCCAGAAGAAAACAGGAATCTGATATCTGACAAAGGACTGGGAATTCTAAATGCTGCCAACCCCTAGGCGAGCTTTACCTGGAGAGATAGAATAGCTCACTTCTGCATTTCTTCCTTCATCAAGGTCCTTGGCAAACACTGTTGTAACCAATGTATTTACCGGCTGACCTTCCAGAACCTGTCATGAAAACAAATGGCTTATAGTGATTCAGTGTAATTTCTAAAGAAGTCTCAATGGACTTATAAATGCAATAATACCATATCACACTGAGTATGCCTAACTGTTAAAGCCTGCATACCATTTAAATGTCTACCAAATGGAAGTTATATGGTGGGGGGGGGTAGGCGGGGGGGGGGGGGGGGGAGGAGAAAAATGAGGTCCTTACCTCCTTAGTAACAAGTTTGACAAGAAATCTAATCATTACCTTACTTATATGACTGTAATTCCTCTTTATATCACTTTGACAATTTTAAAAAAAGAAGTTATATGATAGTACATGGGGAAAAAAACCTACCTCACAAATTTAAATATTTTACTGTTTGAACAAATTGAGGCATCTGAGTTAATTCTGCAAATAAGTCAGTAACAATAGAGGAAGTCAAACTAACTAAAAGTTTATATTTTTAAAGGATATTTATATATTTGTGTTTATTTAGTGTATGTATTTTATATAGCTTAAATATTTTAAAGGATATTTTATGTTTTTGAAGTATTCTGGTATCATCTCATTTATCAGCTTCCAGGCAATTGTTTAACAGGTGATTGTTACAATCTTAAACATGATCAAGATAAATCAAACTATTTACCTTAAATATAAGTATGAATTCCAGGAAATATACTTTACACAGGAAATGTATCATTAATGATAGGATCTATCCTGGACTACTGAAATGAACACATGAAGTTCAACTGTCCAATAAAGCATAGGATATTCTGATACTCTAATTATAAATCATTACAATAATATAATAATGTCTTGTTTGGGTGGAATTTTTCTTTGAACATTGCTTTTATAGCTCAGTCTAAAGTTACTAACTTCCTCAGTATCTATTTTTCATTTTCTTCCTTTCTTTCTTTCTTTTTTTTTTTTTTTTTGTTGGTCGTGGGGTTTGAACTCTGGGCTTGGGCGCTGTCCCTGCACTCTTCAGCTCAAGGCAAGCACTCTACGGCTTGAGCCACAGCGCCACTTCTGGTTTTCTAGTGGTTTATTGGAGATAAGAGTCTCATGGACTTTCCTACCCAGGCAGCTTTGAACCTCGAACTTCAGATCTCAGCCTTCTGAATAGCTAGGATTACAGGCGTGAGCCACTGGCGCCCAGCCTCTATTTTTCATTTTCTATTACACATATTTGAGCACAATTTGAATGTCCAGTTCAACAGTTTTGAAACCATAACTACTGGATGTTTTATTCATATAATCCATCCATTTAACAAATTATGAGTGCTTCCAAATACATTTGTTAATTATATACATGAAAATTTTGTGTTTATTATGAACATGAAAGTTTACTGATTTACCATGTACATTAGAAAAGACACACACATAGAACTAAAAGGACAAGTAAAGAAAACATAATTAAAAGTTGGTATATGTGCTCAAAAGGACCAATGTTTAAATCTCTGGATGTTCACTGATCCATTTAAGAATTACAGATTCTGCTTTCAACTAAAATCTTTTTTTCCTAAAATTATATTTTGATTATCGTTAAGTAGTTACACACACTGTTACAATTCACCGTGTCTGTTTATGAGTATGCTTCTTGATCACTGTCAGCCCTTTCCTCATTCTTCCCCATCTTTCCCATCCCAATCCCTCCCCTCAAATTCCTTGTTGCATCATATATACACTGAATATAACTGCCTTCTCCCCACTTTCCCCTCTTCATGCATCTGCCCTCCCTCTTCTTGACCTCCTCCGCACAACTTGGTCATCTTGTGACACTGAGTTATCGATTATCTTAGTGGCATGCCCCAGTTACTGTCAAGGAGCCGGGCACAGAGGGGCAAACGAAGACTGTGCTGTCTGCATACACAATCAGAACTACGGAACTCATTGTCTAACCGTGAAAGTGCAGTTCCAGAGCGCACGTATATTCATTTTCTTGTAACTGTTTTAACTTGCTTGCACATACACAATTTCTAAAGTCTAGAAATGTAGGCAATTACATGTTCTACCACAAGATGGTGCTCAAAACAAATGACTAAGCACACTACAAGGTCACTGCAAGGCTACTGCTCAAACCTTGATGGAAAATTCCTTTCCAGGGAGACACTGGGGGAAAAATGGCCTGTTATCATTGGTGTCGATGACAGTGACATAAACCACAGTGGTGGCATTCCGAGGTGGGGAGCCATGGTCTGTCACTAGGACAGTCAGCTGATGGTGGCCCTGATGCTCACGATCCAATGCTGACCAGCTGACCAGTTCACCTGTGATGTAATAAAGACACAAACACTGTAAGCTTGAAATATTGGCACCACGAGCCATACTTGAAATAGTCCATAGAAAGGAAAGCTCTGCACCAAGGCACCACCGCCAAGACCATACACAGTGCCACCATACTTTGGGTGGCACTGAAAGCAGTTACTGAAGTTGCTCCTGAAAATGCCACTTCAAATTTGTCATTCTCATTGCAACAATGAGATGTACAAGTTGTTATGTCGAAAAATGAACTTTACAACTTTGGTTGGGGGGTGGAGTAAGGGGAAACAAAGGAGGAGGCTGCAATGCTTGATAAGTAATGTACTCATCATCTTGCCCATGCAATTAATTTTAACCCCTCTATACAGTATTTTCACAATAAAAAAATTGTTATTCTTTGTATTTCAAATTCTCTACCATTGCTCCTTTGAATCAAAAATAATAGAGTTCATGTTGAAAAGGGTGACATAAATCAAGATGAATTGTATTCATAAACTGCTTTGTTAAATGGCAACTCCTTTATACAACTACTTTGAGATAATTTTTTAAAAGGTGAGTTTATGGCAGCGAGTAATATGGAAGATTTAAAATGACTGCTTATCCCTCTTTATGACACTGCAGAGAATGACAGGAAGTTTGTGAACTATGGCACTGGATTCTGAGTTTGGGATGGGTACAGTGACTCATGCCTGCAATCTAACTTGCTTGAGAGGCTGTGGTTCAGAGGACCACCATATGAGGCCATTTGGAACATATACATGGGTCTTCTTCTTAATCAATAGCTGGGCACGAATGACATGTGACTGTCACCCTAGCTATGAGGGAAGCTAAGATCAGGAGGACCATGGTTTAGGCCAGCCTGGACGGAAGTCTGTGGAACTCCATCTCAATGGAAGAAGCTAGACATAGTGGCTACACCTGTCTTTCCAGCTATGGTTAGAAGCCTAAAACAGAAAGGTCATAGGAAAACACATGTTTGGGCAGGAAGCAAGGCCACCATCTAAAAAGTAATCAGTGTAAAGTAGAGCTGGAAGCATAACTCAAACCCCACCAGCTCTGAGTTCTAGGTCTGGATTCCACCTCCCCATCTAACCACCTTCTGTGCCTACCTTCTAAGGCCAATGCAATCATTTGTAACTTCTAAGTATAGGCACTGAAAGCAATGCATTCATTTATAGCCTGTAAAGATTCTAACAATCATTTATAGCACCCATAAAGCACTTTAAGAGCTATAAGATCTTGTTTTGTTCTGTCAGATTTTTGTTTTGTTTTATAAGCCACAAATTCCTGGCAGTTGTGATGACTACTTTACAATAATGGAAAAATACCTTCCTTTCTGAAAGTCTTACACTTTAAGTAATGTCTTGTTATTTGTGTATGACATATTTATTTTGATCTCACAAAGCCTAGGTATAGCAGTGGATAGTAACTTCCCAAATAGCTACTAATGATTGACAGCCCTTCCTTTTTATATTCTTCCTAGAAATGTATGCTCTTGGGTCAGTTTCCTCATTTCTCCCATGGACGTTTAGATATGAAGTCCTAGTCACTTCTCCCTCATGCTAGGACTTTAGAAAAAGACAAATGAGCTTTCTATTAGCCCAACTCCTACTAGGAAGCTCAGCCAAACCCTGGTTCCCACATCATTGATGAGGAAAACTATCAGTGAGCAACTAAATACAAAACAGCTAGCGCAAAGCCCTCCGACTGCTGACTCTTCATGGAAATAAAGAGTCATTGCACAAAAAAAGAAAGCTGCAATGAGAAAGGAAATTCACATTTGAGTAAGTTACTGCGTTGACGAGCTTAAGTTCAGTATTTAGTGTAACTATTTACTCTCTAAACTATTTAAAGGCCATTTGTTATAAGGAGGAGCACAATAAAAATCAAATACATGGAGCCAGGCAGGGTGGCTCACGCCTATAATCCTAACTGCTCTGAGGGCTGAGATCTGAGGATCATGGTTCAAAGCCAGCTAGGGCTGGAAAATCCAAGAGACTCTTATCTCCAATAAATTACTCAGAAAAAGCCAGAAGTGGTGCTGTGGCTCAAGCAGTAGAGTACTAGCCCTGGGCACAAAGAGGCTCAAGGACAGAGCCCAGGCCCTGAATTCAAGCTCTGGGACCAGCAAAAAGAAAACAAATCATATACACAACTGCTTTTTTTTTTTCCCCCAAAGTTGCAATCAGCAATTCTCTGAAAAGCCCAAATCCTGAATAGTATAGAGTTTTAAGTCAGAGCCAGAGAGGAAGGGACCGTGGGGCTGGCCTGGGTGGGGCCTGGTGGAGCTGAGAGCTAGAATCCAGGTCACTAAGAAGACAGCTCAGAGGGGCAGGGTCACTCCTCCATGCCCTGAAGAATGCCCTCCCCAGCTCCTCGTGCACCCTATCATCCCTGGAGAGTGAGAACTTTGTCTTCAAGTCCCGTCATTCACCTGACTTAGATCTCTGTCCTTCAGAGGAGGACATGGAACATGCCAGGAATTCCCTCCTATGCTCACATAAGGACACTGAACTCTGAGGTTAAGCTACTTGCTGAACGCCACACAAGATGAGGAATGGACTCCTGGCCTTCTGAATCTGGGTGCTGGACTAATTTTAGGAGAAGGGAAAATTCAGGAACCAGCTACCATTAGCACATTGAAACAAGTACTTGAGGACAGATAAGTAGTCCCGTGGGCTAAGATGCAAACAGGGCCAGACTGTACAGACTGGGCCCTGAAAAAGGGGCCTCCGTTGAGGGGTTGGATGGGGGCTGAAGTCCAGCCTTTAGTCCTCCTGGAGAGCCACATGTCCCAGAGAAAAGCTCCACCTACTGGAGGAAGGGAAAACTTCTCCTAATTCACACAGGGCTTGGAGAACAAAGACATGCAGTCCCTGAGAACATCCTCCAAATTCCGTCCAATTAAAGGGCAAAGCACCATTACCTGATCACCCAGCTTATACAATATGACAAATTTTCATATTTAACGCTTAAATTGGTAATTCAATAAGGAATGGCATCACCATTATTATTCCCCTTTCCTCTAGGATCTCTTAGCAACCTACACACTTCTAGTGATTCTGAAATCATCTCTACAGGTGACATATTTCATGAAATATGTCTTGATATATTGTTAAAGTCTATAAATTAAAAAGAATAATTAATGAGAAAAACCTTTGCCCAGGATTTATTCAATCCAATTTGCTGTGTGTGTGTGTGTGTGTGTGTGTGTGTGTGTGTGTGTGTGTGTGTGTGTGTGTGTGTGTGTGTGTGTGTGTGTGTACTTGCACGCACAGACGTATGAAGAGGTGCGCATCATTACTGGGCCTTGTACTCTGGTTTGGCTTTTCTGCTCAAGGCTGGTGCTCTACCATTTGAGACACACCTCCACTTCCTGCTTCTTGCTGGTTAACTGGAGATAAGACCCTCATGAATTTGTCTGCCTGGGATGGCTTCTGAGCCCTGATCCTAAGGTTTCAATCTCCCAAATAGCTAGGGTTACCAATCTGCTTTAAGTGTATAAAAGGCGAGTATACCTCTATGGCGAATACTGCAAGCAAATGCAATACAGTTGTAAGAATTTCTGTATCAAAGACATATTTAAACATAGAAAAGGAACAATAAAAATTCTCAGCGGAGGATTTTTTTCAGCCCCACTATAATTTCATGGGACCATGTGTGAACATGGGGTTCATGTTTGATTCAGACGTTGTTACACAGGCCAAATGGATTATCAACAGGTGAGAGAGCAGTTACAAAACTATGAATCCTTAGTGAAATTGCTTTCTATTTTAAAACCACACAATCTCAGAATAATTAATGCACTAGCCAAAAAGTCTCATTTTAGCTGTATGTTTGCATCCATACTACAGATAAAGATTCTAGTTTTCTCAATCTGAATGGAGAGGAATAGGCAGGAGCTACAAAAAGCTACCTGTGTTGGGATTCATCTTGAAGAATTTCCCATCTGACAAAAGGAAGTATGAGAGTTGTCCATTCTTTCCAGAGTCAGAGTCCACTGCTGTGATTTGGCCTATGACCCCTAAGGGAACAGGGCTCTCCAGGACTTTCAGAAACAATGGGCCATGCAAGAAAGTAGGGGAATTGTCATTCTCATCTAGGACGTGAACAGTTACTGAGGTGCTCCCATTTTGTACCAGTCTGTCCTCTGGGATATAGGCAAATGCTCTAAGGCTGTATGCTCGTGTCGATTCATAGTCCAGTTGTCTCCGGAGATAGATCCAACCTGTATGAGGGTGGATCCCAAATGCGGCAGAGTCCACACTGGCTTCCAGAGAATAGACCACCTGCAAATGTGGGCGCAGTAGGGCCAGGGGCCAGGCCTGGATTTGCAGCATCTGTGCCATCACTGACAGAGACTCACGAACTTCCACTTGATAGACCCAATTTTTAAAGGTCAGGGCTGGCCTTTGTTCTTGTTTTTCAACAGTTACAGTCAGCACCATCTGAGATGAGTGAGCGGGAGCCCCATGGTCCTCAGCTACTAGGATCAGGGTGTGCCTCTGTGGCGCATGGCTTCCCAGATTCCCATGGAGGAACACTACACCAAGCCTGGAGTCAATGGCGAAGATACTTGGGCTTGGGCTTGCAATGGTGTACCAGATGAGTCCATTTGGGCCACTGTCTTTGTCTTCTGCACGTGCAAGGTACAAGGCTGTGCCAGGAGGTGTGGTCTGGGGTATCCTAATCTCATCAGAGGCCATGGGAAACTCAGGGGAGTTGTCATTGACGTCCATCACTGTGATGTTGACTTGGGTGCTGCTGTAGGTTGGAGAGCTGCCGAGCTGGGCCTGGACCGTGAGGACCACCCCGGGCTGTGACTCGTGATCTAAAGGCTTCTGTGTGTGGATAGTGCCCAGCCAAGGGTGAATGGAAAACTTCCCATCCAGATCACCAGAGGAGATCTGGTAAAAGATTGGTTCTGAAGAATCTGAAAAGACAAGGAGTTCAGTGATTGTATGCCAAAGGAATCAACCTGCTAGAAAGGCAGAAATTGGAAGTATTATGATAGGTTAAGTCTGCGTGGACTGGTGCTGGATGTCTTCCTTCCTCCCTCTTGAATGTCTGTTAGGAAGTTGACACAGGATTTAAGATTTCTTAGTGGCCAATGGAGTACACAGTAGATAGTTTCTAGCCATAGGCTTCATCACACTTGTTTGTTCTTGCATGAAGAGAGAAAAATAGAAAATAATCTGGACACCTTATTTACCTAATTGTGGGAGCCAGGTTAAGTTAGTATTTCTCCACAATATCTACCTGTGAATGCCAACATTATTTCGCAGAGGTTGAGAGAGAGAGAGGAGAGAAAGCAAGGGGCCCAGGGGAAGGACAGACTCTAGGAGGAATTACCTTGTAGGCCATATTCCTGTAAAAGGACACTTTACACACTTGAAAGAGAGGCAGAAAAGGATGTTTGCTCAAGTTGTGTTTGAGCCAACAAAAATATGTATCATTGTAATCAATAGTAAAAATGAAATGTTTACCTCTAAGTTGAAATAGTCTGCAAATTGTTTATCTAATAAAGTAGAATAGTATATAGTTGGTCTGGAAAGCTGTTCATTGTATTTATATATACATGTGCATGTGTGCATATGTTTGTGTGTGTGTGCTATGTGTGTACTGGTGAGTAGATTACAGGAAATAAAGGATGTATACCTTTGACATTATGATTATTCTGTATTGTATTAAGTTCCTTTTAAAAATACCCATTAGTTTTGTTATCTGAATAATATTGGAGGTTGGATGGAAACAAGATCCAAGAACAGAGCAAGCCATGGGTTGTACTGGCTCCATTCTTGTAGGCAAAGAGAAAAGGATTTGTGTAAGATACTATGGCCCAAGAAAGTACAGAAACTTTTCCAAAAAATGGACTTTGTTGCAGTGTAAGAATTAATACTTACTCAAAGACTCCCTTGCCTTCACTGTTCCCACAGGACTGGCTTCAGGCACATCTTCGTAAACTGAGAAAGTATACTTAGGTCTTTCAAATTCTGCAGGAGCCAATGTGTTCTGGAGAACATGAATAGTGACTTCTGCATTAACAGCAGCTGTAAGCCCACCACCATCTCGAGCACAGACCATCAAAAAAAGTGTAGTAGGCTCCAAATGATTGATTGTCGATGTCAAGTAAATAATACCTGAATGGGGGGAAAAGAGTTGACAAGCAGATGTCAATATGCAGTAGATACTGTTGGTAACATCAGTGATGGTTAGTTGTATGTGTCAACTTGTTTGGGCCCTGGGGTACCCAGATATATAACCAGACATTATTTTTAATATGGAGTATTTATTTATTGTAACAAATGTCAAGGTTTTTGTTATACAATGGACATTAACAATACTTTAATTTTTTCTGAAAATGTCTGACTTGAGATCAGACATATATTGTGAACCCACCTAGCAGGTGGTTTGTGAGGTATTTCTGTGACAATTAGGTAACCAATTTAATTAATGGGATAAATTTGGACCATGCAATTATTATCAGATTTCAAATGTGGATCTCCCTCCAGCATTCAGGACTCTCTATATAAATGAGTGAAGTTTGTAATTTTTTTGTTGGTGGTGGTGGGGCTTGAACACTGAGCCTAGGCACTGTCTCTGAGCTCCTCAGCTCAAGGTGATTGCTTTACCACTTACGCCACAGCACCACTTCCAGTTTTCTGGTGATAAATTGGAGGTAAGAGTCTCACGGACTTTCCTGCACAGGCTGGCTTTGAACTCTGATCCTCAGATCTCAGTTTCCTGAGTAGCTAGGATTGTAGGCATGAGCCACTGGCACCCAGCTGTAATTATTTTTTTTAAACCTTACCTCCAAACATTCCAAATGTTAGATTTCTAATTCTATATGCTAATTTTATGTTCTCAGCTGTAGGTTTATTTGTTAATGATTTTGATTAAATCTTAGCAGAACCAGACTTGGGCCATAAACCTAGCATCCTAGACATTTTCCATCTGGGGAACTGATTCTTAAAAGCAAGGCCAGAAATCCATTCTTTAGAGGTTATGAACCAGTATGAGACCATGGAGAGTTCGTCACAATTAGACAGAGCCAGGTTCAAACTGTAGTTCTGTCAATTCCTGCGCAATTTTCATAAACCCTCTGAGTCTCTTTAGCATCTGTAAGCTTACTGTAGAACCAGGCCAACACCATGTATTGTGCACAGCTTCTGTAGAGTCCATGAAAGAGCATCAATAAACAAAGCACCCAGTATAGAGCCAGATACACACTGACTTCAGAGACTTAACTCCTGCCTCTCCCCGCTGAGCACAGAAGTATTACTAGGTAAATAAATCATACAGAGCAAGGCATGAAAATGAGTGGTTAAAAAAAAATCTTCTGGGCACTAGTGGCTCATATCTGTGATCCTAGCTACTCTGGAGCCCTGAGATCTGAGGATCACAGTTTGAAGCCAGCTCAGGTAGGAAAATCTGTGAGCCTTGTATCTCCAATAAACTATCAAAAAAAGCTTGAAGTGAAGCTGTGGCTCAAGTGAACAAAACAAGTTCAGGGACAGTCCCCAAGTCTTAAGTTCAAGCCCCAGGATTGGGTGCGTGCATGCATGCATGTACACACACACACACACACACACACACACACACACACACACACACACACACACACACACACACACACACACACACACACACACACACACACACACACACACACACACACACACACACACACACACACACACACACACCCCTTCTGTGGTAAGGGAAAGTTGGGAGAACTAGAGTGGCATCAATACCCTGTGAAATTCCATGAAAAGAATACTAAGAAATTCAATAGAAAAGTTGACCAGTAGCCTATATTCCTAACAGCCTGCCTCTGCCTACCAACACAGCAAGGGGCAGCTCTGATGCCTCATGGCATGCTGACATATCCAGCTCCTCTACGAATGGGCAAACCCAATCATCAGAAGTTTTATCTAAACCAATTTTGGATGGATACATAGTTTTCATTTGTCATATAACTGTGAGTGGTCCTATTGCTTTTGTTTTTTTTCCTATTAAGTTTACAATGTGCCCCATTACTATTATTATTTAATGAGTCCCTTCTGATTGAATTCCAGATACTGACACAGGTTGTCAGTGGGAATGTGGGCCTGTAGGTCCTTTCAGGGAGGTCCAGATACACTGCTAGTGGACAAAGACACAAGAGCGACGTTTTAGCTGTCGCTTCCTCTTGTGGGCATTTGAAATACTGTGATAAGTCTGTGCATTGCCATTCCCTCCATTGGACCACAAGTGCTAATGACTGATTCAGTTGTTCCTTAGAGCAGAAACAAAACTCCTTGAAGATCTAGACCCAACTTGAGGTGGTCCAGTATAAAAGTCATAATTTTAGCAACAGTAGAGAAAAGAATCATCTATTACTTGAAGACTGCATGCTTTGTAAACTTTGTAAATTCTGTAAACATCATGCACTTAGAACCTCAGGATATGACTTCATTTGGAATACGGTCTTTGACAATGAAATCATCCTAGATGTACAAAGGCCACCATTAGGGGAGAGATTTGTAGTGTGCTGCCACAAGCCAAGGAATGCCAGGGCATCCTGGCAGCCATTAGAAGCCAGAAGGCAAGTAGGAATGGGGATAGCTTCTCTGTCAGAGTCAACAAAGGAAACTAACTCTATGGACATCTTGTTTGCAGACTTTCCTCCTCTACAACTGAGAGACATTTCAGTGCTCTTTGAAGTCACTCAGTTTGGGTTTTAACTCTTGGAAGCTGACCAAGTGGTGAGCTGACCCCACATGATATGAGGACTCTGAAGCCAGAGAGCATATGTTCCAATCCTGCCCCAGAGACAAGCAGAGTTATCTTAGATAGATAAGCCTCTTCTCTTTCCTGGATCATCTGCTCTCCTGTGAAACAAGATAAAACGGTTTCCACCTGGAAGTTTGGATAGAACTATTAAAAGAGATACGAGAGGGAGAGTACAGAGACCAATTTCTGGCACATGGTGAATGCTTACTAAATACAGTCAGAACTCAAGTTTAGGTGAAAGACCCTTTGCTGGCTTGTAGCTGTGATTCTAGATTCATTCAGAATGAATAAAACAGAATTGTATAAGTGGTATGAAACAGAATAAGACTTCATTGTGTCAAATAGGATGAGTGTTCTGAACTGAGGGAGGAAGCCCACAGAACAGAAAAGGGTGGAGGGAAGCAAAAACAGAGAAAAACAAGGGAGGGTTGCTTCAAAGTCACTTCTGTTGTAAGGGATCAAGGAGGCTTCCTTGGCTAGCATGGGGATTTGGCCCAGTTTCTCTCCCCTGACTTCCTGGAAAGTAACATAAACAACTAAGATTCCTCCTGCTGATGGTGAGCCCTAATATGATTCCATTTTGGTTCATCTGTTGGGTCTGGTGTTGGAGCTCATCACCAACTGTACATTTTATGTAACAATTGTTTAACATTATTATTGACCAACCAGGCCCCTGTATATTTGTATTTTCAAAAGTATATAATATAGGGAGATCATGACAAGTGATAATAGATATAAACTCTTTTTTATAAATAAAATTAGGTGCACTGAATAAACTCATGTCTCTGTTATTCTTATTTTTTAATGTCTATTTTGGGTTCTGTGGCTAAAGAAAATTATAACCTTTCCAGAGAACCTCATGTATTTTGTTTTATTTTGGGGACAGCTGCAACCAAATATTGATTCACATGATATTCATTTCAGTGTGTTGCTATAATTATGTTCCAGAAAACAGACACACAGTCAATTGACAACTGCCATTTAAATAATAAAGCACAAGTCTGATTTTTGTCTTGGAATTTCAGGAAAAACAAAAAGATCCATAAGCAATTCCAGGAAAATCTATGGGAAGATGGTGATACATAAAAATGCCTTCCCCTAGCTTTAATTCTCTTCAACTTCTTGGGTCTGTTTCAGAGCACATAATGCTATGTGATTCAGGCCACCAGGCCACCACAACTTCCCTGAGCTGAGCCTCTGTGCCTTCCCTGGAATTAAAGGACACTGGGGAAACCCACCTGACATATAGAGCACCGTGGAAAAAGTCATCTAGCATTAAGCACATAGCAAGTGTTCATTACCTTTCCAAAGAAATCATTCTTACCCACGGTAATGTGTTTCTTTGGTTATAATATATATATACACACACACACACACACACACACACACACACACACACACACAGATATGTATGTGTATGTATATATATATATATATATATATAAACATTTTTTTGCAGTAGTAGAGTTTGAACTCAGATACTCTACCACTTCAGCCACACCTTTAACCTTTTCTGCCTTAACTGTGGCTCAAGTAGGGCCTCATGGTTTTGCCTGAGGTTGGCCTCTGACCTTAATGCGTCCATCTCCATCTTATTTCAGTGAGTTTACAGAAATGAACCACCAGGCCCAGCCCTGAATTCCTTTCATCTTAAAATCTTGACATAATAGATTTTATCACATAATACTAACTTAGCTTATATGCTTAACATCTAACATCAGAAACATTAAAGAATCATTTGGAAACATTTTCCCACAAAGCAGCCATATACATAATTAAAAAACACTTAGTGAACATTCCTGTTTATTTTTGTTGGATGTTTTCTCCACCTGTATTTTTTTTCCATTGTGCATTAGCTGTCTACCTTCTGAGGCTGATTTAAACTGCAGGCACAGGATGGTCCCAAAAGACATAAAAGAGAATTAATACCCTGGCTCAGAGAGACATGCATTTTGCATGTTAAACACCTGCTAACAATCCTTTCTAAATTGGCTATTTTACATTTTTAAAATAAAAATAAGCTGCTGGGCATCAGTGGCTCAGACCTGTAATCTGAGCTACTGAGAGGCTGAGATCTGAGGATCAAGGTTCAAAGCCAGCCTGTGCAGAAAAGTCCATGAGATGTTTTATCTCCAATTAACCACCAAAACCGATCAGAAATGGAGCTGTGGCTCAAGTGATAGAGTGCCAGTCTTTTTTAAAAAAAATACATTTTTTATTGTAAAAATACTGTACAGAGAGGTTACAGTTACATGAGCAAGGTAATGCAGAATGCCAGTCTTGAACAAAGAAGCTCAGGGACAGCTCTTAGGTCCTGAGTTCAAGTCCCAAGACTGGCACAAAAAATAAGCAAATAAATAAATAA